AGGTGGTGCAAGCGGTTCAGCCGAGCCCACAACAACCAAAAATCTGCTGTCCCTGTCTGGGGGGGGGGGGGGGGCGCTGTTCAACCTTAGCACATGGGCGAGAAGCCGTGCATGTGTGACGAATGCGGCAAGACGTTTTCTCGCGCTCGGCCTACATATATTTTTTTCTTTTCCGCTTGTGTGTTAATCTGTGTTTACCCCGGATATTTTAGAGATGGCAATTCTCCTGCTGTGTATCCTACTGTTGTCTCTCCCGGCCACGTCTAGTGCCACACTCAACTCTACAAACAGCTACCCTCGTTACTTTGCATCCATTCTTGTTGCTCGATTTGCCACTACACCTGCTAATGAAACAGCTCATAGACACTTCTACACTCCATCACTGTATCCTTTTAAACCCTATCTTTGTCCCATTACTTCACCAGCACTCCTTCCAAACTTCATTCTGCTCTTAAAAATAACACCATCTGCGAGCTACTGTTATTCGTCCAAGGTTCGCGCTCTTCATCCTTTCACAGAAAATACTTGTGCAAACTATTAATTCTACTTTTCCTATTTCTGGGTGGTATTGAGCTTCATCCTGGCCTAAATGAAAAGAACTCGTATACGGCATGCAAAAAATGCCTACTTTTCCTCCACCCTCCTGGAATCACATGGAAATGCCAGGATTTTCTGTAAAACAATCAAATGTATCGAAAAGGCATCCAAAACAGACAATCTGCCCATTGAGCTTAACCGAAATGGGGAATATTTTTCAGATCCCCAAAAAATAGTTGACAATTTTAACCTTCATTTTTCTGAAGCTGGTAATCTTTTTGATAATGTATTGGGAGTCACCCCTGCTCATGCAAATTCCTACACTCCTGTCCAAACATTAAACGAATTTAGTTTCCAGCCAATCCACGAAAGTAATGTTCTGAAACAACTGTCCTACCTCAAATGGTCCTCCTCTACCGGAGCAGATAGTATTCCCGTCTTTGCTCTACTAATTGTTGGTCACCTAATATACAAACCAATATTTTAAACATGTCCATCAAAGAAGCATCAGTTCCTCTAGAATGGAAACATTCCTATGTCCGTCCACTTCACAAAGGGGGCCCTAAAGATGATCCAAATAACTACCGATCTATCTCAATTTTGTCCCCATTGATGAAAATTTTTAAAAAATTATTGACCTACCAAATTAGCAGTTTCCTGTCCACCAACAATCTACTACATCTAAAACAATCTGGGTTCCGAAAAAATACAGCACCACATCTGCTGCATTAGACTCTCTGAATCACATTTACAGTAGTCTTTTTCTAGACCTGTCCAAAGCTTTTGATACAGTAGACCACAACACCCTGCTTAGTAAACTAAGTTGCCTCGGTTTTTACGAAAACGCAGAAAAATGGTTGCAAAATTACCTCTTTTCTCGCACCCAATCTGTATTCACAGATGGTTGGAGGTCAAATAGTGTTAAATAACAAAAGGGGTTCCACAGGGTTCCATCCTCGGCCCCCTTTTGTTCTCTCTTTATGTCAATGACTTGGGGACTGACCTGGATCATTCCAGGGTAAATCTTTTTGCAGATGACACGACACTAATTACTGCTGGCCGCTCTCCGGATGACGTGATTGCTAAGCTACAGGGTGATTTCAACAAACTACAACATCAGCTAGTTGCTCTTAAACTAGTCCTGAATACCTCCAAAACCAAGGTGCTATGCTTCTCACCAGGACTAAAGCAGGAAGTTATTTTTCCCCAATTACATTCCTTAAATAATTATCAAATAGAGCAAGTCAAGATCTATAAGTATCTTGGGGTCATCCTGGATTCAAAACTGAATTTTGAAGATCACATTGATTATATTGGTAAAAATACAAAAATAAAAATTGGTTTTCTGTATCGACACAAGCACTGCTCCCCCCCCCCACCCCCATGTTCCGTTTGGAATTGATAAAAGCTACCATACTGCCTCTACTTGACTACTGTGACATCGTGTATAAATCAGCTCCAAGTACTGTACTGAAGAAGCTTGATTCCATCTATCACTCGGCCTTAAGATTTACATTGAACTGCCCATATAGGACTCACCACTGTGATCTCTACATTGGGTCAAACTTAACATCTCTTAATGTTCGACGGCTTGTGCACCAGATCTTATTTATTCACGATGTACTTACAAAAAAATCCGCAGACTACCTGCTGGATCTCCTCACTGTTTCAAAGAACAAATTTGACCTCAGGTCTTCGCTCATTTACCAGCTTCACATTCCCTATTGCCGTACAAAAACTGGAGGAAGGGCCTTTGCTATTGATGCCCCCAGGGTCTGGAATGCTATTGCCAATAAACTGCAACTTGAATCACTACCAATGAGATCTCTCAAACTGCTCTAGAGGAGTTGTACACCCCTAGCTGCCACTGCTATTCATTGGCGTAAAATAAAATAAAATGTTTCGCTCCGGATGACGCTGCAAAGTATTTTCTGTATTTTTATTTAGCGTGCTGATCTTAAAGGTGCATTGAAAAATTTGATACTCCGACTGATGCTTCTGTTGTTGTGGAGTAACTCATGCAGCCAGCTATTGCTCTAGGATTTTGGTGTTACATGTTATTTATGTAGTTTATTGTAAGAATTCGGTCACCGTCCCTGTGATCACTGTTACGTTGCAATTATGGCTTTATTTTTTGGTGATTTCGAAAAGTTTTTTTTGGTTTGGCCATGTTTTTGTTTTGTTGTAGTACGGAGTTAGACTGCTGGCCTTTAAGATGTTTTCTTGTTAGTGTTTTTGTTTTTTTGTTTGTTGTGGTTGCACCCGATTCAAGAGCCGAATGGCTCACAGGGCTATACCAAAATAAATAAACTGAAACTGAAATGTAATTAATAAATTTGATTACTTTCTATTAAATTTAAATAATAAAAACATAAAAAAGGTATTTTGTATTAATCATTTTTATATGAATACAGTATTTTTGGGTTGTGGAACTAATCATCTGAGTTTCAATTATTTCTTATGGGGAAATTCGCTTTGATATACGAGTGCTTTGGATTACGAGCACGTTTCCGGAACGAATTATGCTCGCAATCCAAGGTTTCACTCTACTGAGGGAAAACCCGCAGGACCCCGGAGGACCCCGGAGGACCCCGGAGGACCCCGGAGAAAAACCGTCGCGACCATGGGGAGAGAGAGAGGGAGACACGCAAACTACAAATATACAGCAGCAGGCGTCAGGGTCGGGATCGAACCCTCAAACCTCCTGCGTACCAGGCGAGGGAGAAAACATCTCGCCAAGGTGGCTCCCTCGACATTAGTATTCAGATACTGAACGTGTCGCTGTCGCTGCTGCTGCCACCATGGCAAGCCCAGAACGGAGGTGGGGGTGGCGCACTGCCGCTCGCTGCTGAAGTCCCAAATGGGACAAGAACAAAAATGCCTTTGTTTCTTGTGGTCATGGAACAACGAATTGGGCACAATTAGAATGATTGACGGGGAGGATGTTTGAATTCCATTCGTGACTTTCGAGTTTATCTGGTCGGAGCTGGGGGGATTGGGTGGGAGTTGGGGGTTTAGTGAGAGATGGGGGGTGGGAGTTGGGGGGGCGGGAGTTGTGGGTTGTGGGAGTTGGGGGGATTGGGTGGGAGTTGGTGGGGTTGGGTGGGAGTTGGGGGGGGAGTTGGGGGGGAGGGGTTGGGAGTTGGGGGGGGGTTGGGAGTTGGGGGGAGTTGGGGGAGTTGGGAGTTGGGGGAGTTGGGGGAGTTGGGGGGGTTGGGTGGGAGTTGGGGGAGTTGGGAGTTGGGGGAGTTGGGGGAGTTGGTGGGGTTAGGTGGGAGTTGGGGGAGTTGGGGGAGTTGGGGGAGTTGGGAATTGGGGGAGTTGGTGGGGTTTGGTGGGAGTTGGGGGAGTTGGGGGAGTTGGTGGGGTTGGGTGGGAGTTGGGGGAGTTGGGAGTTGGGGGAGTTGGGGGAGTTGGTGTGGTTGGGTGGGAGTTGGGGGAGTTGGGGGAGTTGGGAGTTGGGGGAGTTGGGAGTTAGGGGAGTAGGTGGGAGTTGGGGGAGTAGGTGGGAGTTGGGGGAGTTGGTGGGGTTTGGTGGGAATTTGGGGAGTTGGGGGGGGGGGGGTTGGGAGTTGGGGGGAGTTGGGAGTTGGTGGGGTTGGGTGGGAGTTGGGGGAGTTGGTGGTGTTGGGTGGGAGTTGGGGGAGTTGGGGGAGTTGGGAGTTGGGGGAGTAGGTGGGGTTGGGTGGGAGTTGGGGGAGTTGGTGGTGTTGGGTGGGAGTTGGGGGAGTTGGGAGTTGGGGGAGTTGGGAGTTGGGGGAGTTGGGAGTTGGGGGAGTAGGTGGGGTTGGGTGGGAGTTGGGGGAGTTGGGAGTTGGGGGAGTTGGGGGAGTTGGGAATTGGGGGAGTTGGTGGGGTTTGGTGGGAGTTGGGGGAGTTGGGGGAGTTGGTGGGAGTTGGGGGAGTTTGGAGTTGGGGGAGTTGGTGTGGTTGGGTGGGAGTTGGGGGAGTTGGTGGTGTTGGGTAGGAGTTGGGGGAGTTGGGTGGGAGTTGGGGGGGAGTTGGGGGAGTTGGGGGAGTTGGTGGGATTGGGTGGGAGTTGGGGGGGGTTGGGTGGGAGTTGGGAGCTGTGCGTTATGGGAGTTGATGGGGTTGGGTGGGATTTGGGGGGGGAGTTGGGGGGGGTTGGGAGTTGGGGGAGATGGGGGAGTTGGTGGGGTTGGGTGGGAGTTGGGGGAGTTGGGGGGGGGGGTTGGGTGGGAGTTGGGGGAGTTGGGGGGGTTGGGTGGGAGTTGGCGGGGAGGGGTTGGGTGGGAGTTGGAGGGGGTTGGGTGGGAGTTGGGGGGGAGGGGTTGGGTGGGAGTTGGGGGGAGGGTGGTTGGGTGGGAGTTGGGGGGGGTTGGGAGTTGGGGGGGGGGTTGGGTGGGAGTTGGGGGGGTTGGGGAGGGGTTGGGTGGGAGTTGGGGGGGAGTTGGGGGGGGTTGGGGGGGGAGTTGGGGGGGAGTTGGGGGGGAGTTGGTGGGGCAAGAAAAACCAAGCGCCCGAGGAGAATGAGATGAGCTTCAGAGAGACTGAGAGGCATTTAAAGCGAAACACAAAGACGGAGAGGTCGAGGTAAAGAAGTGAGCGTTTGTCACGTCGCAGAGGTAAGAACTTTTCTTGATGCACACTCGTAACTTACAATCGCCGATTCCAGTGGAGGTCTCTCTCTTTCGAGAGAGAGACAGACAGACAGATGATAGATAATGGCAGATTGGCGTCGTAGCAGTGAGCAGTCGCCATTGTGTGAGAACGCGTCAGAAGTTTGAGAATCAAAAGTTTGTTTTCCACCTAGTAAAGCCCATTGAGATAAGAAGCTCCCTCCCTCTCTCTTTTAAGTGGCGACTCGGCCGGCAGACAACAGCAAAGTTTTTCACACTTTATACATAAAGCAACAATTTATTATCGCAGTTATGTTGTGAAAATTATTCACACAACCTTTAGTGATTTTGATAGTCGGTTTAAATGAGATGGTAAATTGGAGATGCCAAAGAGACGACACTTTTTTAGGTGTGGTTCCAAAACTTTTGTGCAGCAGCTGCATGATATTATTTTGATCCAAATTTGGTACGAAATCTGAGAACTCATAATAGACAATCAGACACACGTCTGACCCCGTCATGAGAATATGGAATTAACATAAATTGCTGTGAGCTTTCATCGGAGGTCACAGCCCATGACTCGTTGGAGCGGGAAGCCATTCAACTTTAGTCTAATGAGCAATCACAACAAACAACAGCAGAAGCAGGGCGAGTGAAGAAGACGCGGGGCTGCTCTCTCGCTCGCAGTTGACCTGGAGATGGAATATCCCGCGTCTAGTATGCAGGACGTCCTGGGTTCGATCCCGACCCTGACGTCTGATGTATATTTTGAGTTTGCGTGTCTCTCTCTCCGTGGTCGCGTGGATTTTTCTCCGGGCCCTCCGGGTTTTCCTTCCAACATTTAGAGTTAACACCACGCGTTCATAGTATGTTGCTGCTGTAAAGTTTCACACGATAAGCCACTTCTTTGAGCTATTAATTATTTGCGACAGCCAGCTCGCTTCTGCAAAAAAGAGTTACATAGCTCAGTGGGCCTTATCTGGTCAAATAAAAAATAGTAAATAGTGTATAGCTTTCGCACATAGTGAGACAGTTCACTACGTGCGAAAAGGGAAGAGTCGTATTTTCAGAAGAAATGCAAGTGGCTCCTTTAGTGGGAATTAAACCGTTCTGGCCTTGCTCACTGATTCGGTGTCTGGGTCGATCTCATTGACCTGGGCGGGCAGTCCCCAGGATCACGTGGCCTACAGCGATCACTGACTGACGCGATGTTGAGTAATAGTTGTCACCTTAGGACGCAATGTCGCGCCGCCTCATGGTTTAGTCGCTGACTCAGGCGCGGAGAGCAACCAGAGACGACCGGGAAGGCAGTAGCAACAGCACAGTGGGGTGATCCTGCGTCACAACCGCCAAGCTCTGCGTTCCCCTATATATTAAGGTGTTTTCATCCAATCAATGAAGGCGTTGGAGCTGTGTTTGAGGTATGCCAGGGTGTGACGCCTCCCCAACTCCAATGGGAAGGGAGTTTCGCAACATCTGTTTGTGATCCACCAAACCCCGCTGCTGTTGGATCACAGTCCACGTGGACGCCACGGTGGCAAGATGTTAACTCCCTCGCCTAGTATACAGGAGGTCGTGGGTTCGATCTCGATCCTGACGCCTGTATATTTGGAGTTTGCGTGTCTCTCTCTCTCCCGGTGGTCGCGTGGATTTTTCTTCAGGTCCTCCGGCTTATCCCTCCACATTTAGAATTAAAATCACGCGTCTAGAGTATTCTATTGCTGTAAATTCCCACGTGATGATGATAAGCCACTTCGTTGAGCGAGTATTGGTGGCCAGGTCGCTTCTGAGAAAGTGCTGGACAGCGACACAGCTCAGTGGGCCTTACTTGGCAGCAGCAGCAACAAAATAAATAATCACGCAGATAATTGACCTTATTCACACACCTGTCCCTCCATTAAAAAAACACTCAAAATCAGAATATGTATCTGCACTGGGGGAATCCGATGAGCTGTAAAGCTCTTTTTCACGGATGTTCAGTAGGGGCGGCTTAAGAGCGAGACAGCACAAAAAACACGATGGGATTGCAAAGTACAAGAAAGGTAAACAGATCACACAAACATCCAAATGAAACTAAACCATCCCCATCTTTACAGGCAAAGCCCACTGAGGTATTCATGCATTTACAAAATGTCAACGACGCATCCGACACACATTGCATTACATTGTGCGTCACTGCAACTGCAGCAGCAGCAGCATCATCATCATTCCGGGCAATGTCTCCAAACAAACATCAAAGTCACTTTTACATTCCAGAGGCACACGCCTCCAGACAACAGCCATTTTACCCGCATTGGGTCAAGCAAGCCTGACTCTGTTGCTGATGAGACACTGAAACTCGAAACCCGTCCAGAACTTCCTTTTGTGTTGAATCTATGATGTTACGGAATTGATTGCCAGAAGACCTGAGTGGTTGATGTAATGAATAACAAATGTGTGTTTTTTTATGTGGAGACAGATGTGGGAAGCAGGCGATTGTTGTTTTTCTCGCTCTTCCGAGCACGCAGACAGAATCCGCATGAACCTGTTTTGTGGCATTTTTTCAACACTGAATGGACATACGGACACACACACAGCAAGTATCAACATGCAGACACACAGCAAGTATCGACATACCAACACACACAGAAAGTATCGACATAGACACACAGAAAGTATCGATATAGACACACAGCATGTATCGACATAGACACAGCATGCATCGACATAGACACACACAGCATGTATCGACATAGACACACAGCAAGTATCGACATACACAGCAAGTATCAACATACAGACACACAGCAAGTATCGACATAGACACACAGCAAGTATCGACATAGACACACAGCATGTATAGACATAGACACACAGCATGTATCGACATAGACACACAGCAAGTATCGACATAGACACACAGCAAGTATCGACATAGACACACAGCAAGTATCAACATGCAGACACACAGCAAGTATCGACATACCAACACACACAGCATGTATCGACATAGACACACAGCATGTATCGACATAGACACACACAGCATGTATCGACACAGACACACAGCAAGTATCGAGACACACAGCAAGTATCGACATAGACACACAGCATGTATCGACATAGACACACAGCATGTATCGACATAGACACACAGCAAGTATCGACATAGACACACATAGCAAGTATCGACATAGACACACAGCAAGTATCGACATAGACACACACAGCAAGTATCGACATAGACACACAGCAAGTATCGACATAGACACACAGCAAGTATCGACATAGACACACACAGCAAGTATCGACATAGACACACAGCAAGTATCGACATAGACACACACAGCAAGTATCGACACAGACACACACAGCATGTATCGACATAGACACACACAGCATGTATCGACATAGACACACACAGCAAGTATCGACATAGACACACACAGCATGTATCCACGTAGACACACACAGCATGTATCGACATAGACACAAACACAGCAAGTATATGGCATACATATAGACATACACAGAAAGTATCGACATACGGACACACACAGCAAGTATCATCATAGACACACAGCATGTATCGACAGACACACACAGCAAGTATCGTCATAGACACACACAGCATGTATCGACATAGACACACAGCAAGTATCGACATAGACACACAGCAACAACAACAACCGCCATTCGCCACTAAGTGGTGGTGACGTCACCACGACGCTTGTGCCAGGCTATGTGCACCCTGAGGCCACGTGAAGTGTCGAACGCCCGCTGGCAGGAGGTCACGGGGCAGACCCAGGTGCCACGGGTCGACTGACTGAGATGACTGGCTGATGCACCACCTGTGCCCCCTACTGTGCCAACCTGCTGTGCTTTAGCCACCCGGCGCTCCGCTCGTTGTTGTGAGTGTCGCTCCTCCGCCCTCCGTTGTTGTTGGAGGGCGACTACCTCCAACTGCCCAGTAGCATCCTTCACGAGCCTCCTCCACAGAGGCCGATCTTGACACCGCTGGTACCAGTCATCGGCAAGTCCACTCAGCGCCACGTCCTCCTGTACCACATCACTCCATCTCTTCTCTAGCCCATGCCGCGCTCGCTTTGCCCCCTCAATCCGGCCGAACAAAAGCTGTTTCGGCATGCGGTGGCTGGGCATGCGGGCTACATGACCCAGCCATCGCAGCCTTGCCCGCCGGAGGAGCTCACCGATGGGACCTTGCCCAGATCTTTCAAGGATTTGTGAGCTCCTCACACAATCCAGTCTGGTTAAACCCAGGATGGATCGTAGGCAGGCCAGCCTAAATGTTTCTAACCGGCGAAGATGTTCCATTAGGGGGGTCCACGTTTCGCAAGCGTAGAAAAGGGAGGGAATGACCGTGGCCGAGAAGACCTGAAGCTTAGTGCGGAGCGACAGACCAGGTAGCTTCCACACAGCGTTACGCAACCGATGAAAAGATATTGCCGCTCGACTGATTCGGAGTGAGACCTCTGCTGTTAAACTGGAGCCAGTCATAAGCACACTGCCCAGGTATGGGAAACTCTCCACTCTCTCCACAACTGCCCCATCACCAATCGGGAGTTGTGGGGGTGGAGTGTCCGATGGTACAAAATACCCAGGCAGGTGCTTAGTTTTGGTGGGGCTGATCGTAAGGCCCCACCTCTTAGTGGCACGCTCCAGTCTCAGCAGCAGCGTCTCCAACTCCTCCTCTGACTGAGCAGCAGGTACTCCAAAAGCACGAAGAACGACCCAGAGCCCAGGCCTACTGATGGTATCATAGGCCTTGACCAGGTCAATAAAGCAGAGATGTAGGTCTTGTTGGAATTCCCTACACCTCTGCTGTAGCAGACGGACAGAAAATATGGCATCTGTGCAGGACCGCCCTATCCTGAAACCGCATTGGGGCTCCGCAAGCCTCTCCTCAGCGTGCCTGGCAAGGCGATGCTGAATAATCCTTGCCAGGACCTTTCCCGGCACACTGAGGAGTGAGATGCCCCTGTAGTTGTTACAGTCTGTGCGGTCCCCCTTCTTAAAAAGGGGGACCACCAGGGCATCCTTCCAATCCTGCGGAACCCGTCCAGTGGTCCAGACTGTTGTTATGATGTCATATAGGGCAGTCTGTGCACAAACGCCACCCTCCCTCAGCATTTCGCTTGGGAGATCATCTCTGCCCGCTGCCTTTCCTGGTCTCAGACTCCGGATCGCCTTCAGTACTTCCTCAACAGATGGCACCTCAGCCAGCCACTCACAGGGGGTGACTTCTTCCAATATTTGAGGCACCGCAGCCTCAGCAGGGTCATCCTCACTTTGTGCCACGATGTTTTCCTGGCTGAGGGATTTTCCCTCCCCCAGGACCTCACAGAAATGCTCAGCAAATCTGCAAACCTGTTCCTGGGGGTCGGAGATTGGATCACCGTTTTTCCCCTAATGATGGTAATAGGTGTGGCGCTGCAGGTTACTTTTTTGATGGAGTTAAATAGAGATTTGTGATCACGGGCCACAGAGGCAGACTCTATCTCCTCAGCAACCCGCGACCACCACCCATCCTTGCAGCGCCTCACGGCTCTCCGAACCTCCGAGCGAAGGCTGCGGTAAGCCTCCTCATTCTCTGACGTGGGATTCTGTAGCCGATGGCAGTGGGCCTGTCGCTTTTTATCAACCATCCTGAACACCTCCTCTGTCAGCCAGGGTCTCTGGGGAGGTCTGGCCCGCGTACCCAAAGCAGCCATTGCAGCTGCATGAGTCACAGTCCTAAACCTCACCCATTTACCCTCGACATCAGGAGGAGTCGGGGACGATTCCAATCCCAGCCGCAAGCGATGATGAAATTCTCGCTTGCAACTTTCATCAGATAACTGAGACCAGGCCACTTTAGGTCGGAATGGGGTCCTGGGTGTACACCCACCACCGGAGAGGAAGAATGGCAGGCGCATCTTACAGATGACTAGTCGATGGTCAGAGGGCAGATCAGCTCCACGGTAGGTCCTGGTGTCAAGGACATGGGCTCGCATCTGCTGGTCCATCACTATGTAGTCCAGCAGATGTTCTTGCTTGGATCCGGCATGCATCCATGATGTTGTGTGGATGTGCCGATGCCGGAACAGCGTGTTGGTAATTACAAGCCCATGGGCTGCACAAAAATCTAGCAGCCTCCTACCGTTGTTATTGAGCTGATCTGGTCCATGCCCTCCAATCACTCCAGACCAGGTGCCAGTATCATGACCAACTCGGGCATTGAAGTCACCCAACATGATGATTCTATCCCGGGTGGCCACTTTAGCCAGCACCTGTGACAGGTCATAGAAGTAATCTGACTCATCGGCTTTGCCTGCATCCCTCCACGGATGTTCATCTTCGGTGGGGGCATAAGTAACCACGACCACCATTCCTCGCCTCCGGTTGATGGGAAGGCGAGGCCAAAGTAGCCTGGGGCTTACAGCTTCCCACACTTCACCGCCACGCTCCCACGCCCCCTTCATTCTTTTGTTCAAAAGAAGAGCCACACCCTGTTGTTTGGCAGTCTGCTGCCCCGAGTAGAGGACTGTCCACCCCTCATGGTGGCACGAGCCAGAGCCGATCCACCGGACCTCCTGAATGCCGCATAGATCCAGGCGGTACCGGTCCAGCTCCCGACAGAGGAGTGGCAGCCTCTCCTCCGCAGTGAGCGTTCGAACATTCCACGTGGCCACCCATAGTGGCTTTTCGTTGTTTCTGGCTCCGCCAATCTCCTGGCTCCGCCAATTGGGGTTTGGCCAGGAGACGTCATAGACGCCTGGCCCCCCGGGGCCTCCGGCACAAGCTTATTAGTTACATATTTCAGTTTAACTCGTGGTTTCGTGGTAATTAATTGAAGGTGGAGAGGTTACCAGCCCCTCGCACCCGTCCAGAGCCCCCGTTTAGCCCCTGTGGTGGACACATATGCCATGAGAGGAGGAGCCAATCAAAATTGGATCTCCCCCCACAGCACTGTCCACGACAGAGTTGCCCGTCCGGCACCGCGAGGAGGTAGGGGGTTGTTTTGCCGGACAACACACAGCAAGTATCCACATAGACACACACAGCATGTATCGACATAGACACACACAGCAAGTAGCGACATAGACACACAGCATGTATCGACATAGACACACAGCATGTATCGACATAGACACACAGCAAGTATCCACATAGACACACACAGCATGTATCGACATAGACACACACAGCAAGTAGCGACATAGACACACACAGCAAGTATCGACATAGACACACACAGCAAGTATCGACATAGACACAAACACAGCAAGTATCGACATAGACACACACAGCAAGTATCGACATAGACACAAACACAGCAAGTATCGACATAGACACACACAGCAAGTATCGACATAGACACACACAGCAAGTATCGACATAGACACAAACACAGCAAGTATCGACATAGACACATACAGCAAGTATCGACATAGACACACAGCATGTATCGACATAGACACACACAGCAAGTATCGACATAGACACACACAGCAAGTATCGACATAGACACACACAGCAAGTATCGACATAGACACACAGCAAGTATCGACATAGACACACAGCAAGTATCGACATAGACACACACAGCAAGTATCGACATAGACACACAGCAAGTATCGACATAGACACACACAGCAAGTATCGACACAGACACACACAGCATGTATCGACATAGACACACACAGCATGTATCGACATAGACACACACAGCAAGTATCGACATAGACACACACAGCATGTATCCACGTAGACACACACAGCAAGTATCGACATAGACACACACAGCATGTATCCACGTAGACACACACAGCATGTATCGACATAGACACAAACACAGCAAGTATATGGCATACATATAGACATACACAGAAAGTATCGACATACGGACACACACAGCAAGTATCGACATAGACACAAACACAGCAAGTATCGACATAGACACACAGCAAGTATCGACAGACACACACAGCAAGTATCGACATAGACACACACAGCAAGTATCGACATAGACACACAGCAAGTATCGACAGACACACACAGCAAGTATCGACATAGACACATACAGCAAGTATCGACATAGACACACAGCATGTATCGACATAGACACACACAGCAAGTATCGACATAGACACACACAGCAAGTATCGACATAGACACACACAGCAAGTATCGACATAGACACACACAGCAAGTATCCACATAGACACACACAGCATGTATCGACATAGACACAAACACAGCAAGTATCGACATAGACACACACAGCAAGTATCGTTATAGACACACACAGCAAGTATCGACATAGACACACACAGCATGTATCGACATAGACACACAGCAAGTATCGTTATAGACACACAGCAAGTATCGTCCTACTGTTCACCTTTTGGCGTCCTCTGGTCTGACACTGGTGAGACGAGGCACTCAAGAAGGCTGTCTCTGGTGTAGACCAATCAGTTTCAAAGACAATGCACACATTACCAGAGCGTCTGTGTTTGCAAGTTCACCACACGTACGTGTGGTTAATGCAGACATGATTCCTTGCAAAAGGTTTATATTTGGTGTTTGAACATCTGAACACTTCCTGTTTCATTGCCAGAAAGGGTAAAACTTTTATCTTGTTCTTCTTTTAATTCTTGTTTTTTCATACTTTGATATTGGCAAAAAAGGTCCCATTGAGAAGTTTTAAATTGTCTTGGGAGTTGCAGGTGGTCACGAATGGACTCGCGCCGTGCAGTGTTTGATTCCGGGGGAGGGGTCGGCCAGAACTACACCCGGCCCCCCTTTGTTTCCCTGGTGCTGATGTTGTACACAGCGACCCAGCTGCCGTGCTCATTTAAAGGCCGAGTCGAGCTCGCGGAGGTCCGGCAAGATTCGGATATTCGCCGACGATGTTGGTGGTGGCCGTGAGCGGGAGACGAACTCGATCCGACGGGTTCGGAGCGCAGCGCGCCCACATGCGCTCCATCCTGCCCCCTTCAGACAGAACAAGACAAAGATCCCCCGCGTAGGCTTAACAGACTGCTGGGGCAAGTGCTGTTAGCGAGCAGTGCCTATGAAGGCCGGCACGGCACACGAGGGGGTGGGTGGCCAGCACCACGCTCGACCGCCTTTGTCTCCCCAGTGGCGATGTTTACTACGCACCACACCGGGTACTCATTTGAGGCTGAGTCGACCTAGGGGAAGCCCAGGACCGGTTCAGATAACCGTCACTGGCGTTGGTGGCCGTGAACGAGACTCGAACTCGGGTGACCGGGGTTCGTAGCGCAGGCGCGCTAACCGCAGCGCCACCACTCCCCCTATATACACTGAACATCGTAACACTCGGGGCACGCACACAGAGAAGCAGGTTCGTGCAGAACGCCGGGCAGCTGGAGCAGCTACGGTGCCGTGGTGGGGGGGGGGTTGGTCTGATTGAGAGCTTGCAGGGGCTGGGGGGGTCTGTGGGTGGCGGAGTTGGGAGAGCGAGAGAGGGGTGAGAGTAGCTGTGTGGGAATAGACGGGGAGCAGTCCCCACCCCCTACCCCCTACCCCCCACCCCCTACCCCCCACCCCCTACCCCCCACCCCCTACCCCCACCCCCCACCCCCTACCCCCCACCCCCTACCCCCCAACCCCCACCCCCTACCCCCCACCCCCTACCCCACGAGTGCGTCGCGGAGGCGGCCCTTGCGGCGATCGAGGGGAGGAGTGATTTCGGCGACCGAGGGGGGAGTGATTTCGGCGATCGAGGAGGGAGTGATTTCGGCGACCGAGGGGGGAGTGATTTCGGCGATCGAGGGGGGAGTGATTTCGGCGACCGAGGGGGGAGTGATTTCGGCGATCGAGGGGGGAGTGATTTCGGCGACCGAGGGGGGAGTGATTTCGGCGATCGAGGGGGGAGTGATTTTGGCGATCGAGGGGGGAGTGATTTCGGCGATCCATTTCCTCTGTGTGAAGGGGTGGAGTGGGGAAGTCGTCGGTTGGCTGCTCAGTCAGGAACGCCGGGGAGACTGAGAGCTGTTCGCAGCCTGTGGAGAGATGCAGCCAGCGGAGCTCAGCAGGGTGAACGCAGCACCGCTTTTACCACGACTACGACTGCAGGACTACAAATGATACCACTACTACTACCACCACCACCATTCACCTACACTCATACCACCACCTCTACCATCACCCACCTCCTATACCACAACCTACCTCCACCCATAACAGTACTACCACCACCAGCTAACACCATCAGTCACCTCCACCACTCACCATCACATACATGCTTGGAAACCCATACGGCCAACCCGTATTCTTGTGCATGGAAATTGAGTTTTCCGATCCATATGTCGTACAGCCGTTTCAAAACGAGCAAAACAAATTACTTTGTGTTTCTTCCTTGTGATGGGACTTTGTCGGATGAACGTTGAGATTTATAAGGGGCACGGGGTGATCAATAAGGTCTGAATTGGTCTGTAATAAGGTAGGGCACTGGTAAGGGGTTAACAGGAATGCCCATTCACTCACTCTCTCAACTCTACACTCGACCATTCACTCACTCGACACTCGCCCACTCACTCACTCACTCTACACTCGCCCACTCACTCACTCACTCTACACTCGCCCACTCATTCACTCTACACTCGCCCACTCACTCACTCTACACTCGCCCACTCACTCACTCTACACTCGCCCACTTACTCACTCTACACTCGCCCACTCACTCACTCTACACTCGCCCACTCACTCACTCTACACTCGCCCACTAACTCACTCTACACTCGCCCACTCACTCACTCTACACTCGCCCACTCACTCACTCTACACTCGCCCACTCACTCACTCTACACTCGCCCACTCACTCACTCTACACTCGCCCACTCACTCACTCACTCTACACTCGCCCACTCACTCACTCTACACTCGCCCACTCACTCTACACTCGCCCACTCACTCACTCTACACTCACTCTACACTCACTCACTCTACACTCGCCCACTCACTCACTCTACACTCGCCCACTCACTCTACACTCGCCCATTCACTCACTCACTCTACACTCGCCCACTCACTCACTCTACACTCGCCCACTCACTCACTCTACACTCGCCCACTCACTCACTCTACACTCGCCCACTCACTCACTCTACACTCGCCCACTCACTCACTCTACACTCGCCCACTCACTCACTCTACACTCGCCCACTCACTCACTCTACACTCGCCCACTCACTCACTCTACACTCGCCCACTCACTCACTCTACACTCGCCCACTCACTCACTCTACACTCGCCCACTCACTCACTCTACACTCGCCCACTCACTCACTCTACACTCGCCCACTCACTCACTCTACACTCGCCCACTCACTCACTCTACACTCGCCCACTCACTCACTCTACACTCGCCCACTCACTCACTCTACACTCGCCCACTCACTCACTCTACACTCGCCCACTCACTCACTCTACACTCGCCCACTCACTCACTCTACACTCGCCCACTCACTCACTCTACACTCGCCCACTCACTCACTCTACACTCGCCCACTCACTCACTCTACACTCGCCCACTCACTCACTCTACACTCGCCCACTCACTCACTCTACACTCGCCCACTCACTCACTCTACACTCGCCCACTCACTCACTCTACACTCGCCCACTCACTCACTCTACACTCGCCCACTCACTCACTCTACACTCGCCCACTCACTCACTCTACACTCGCCCACTCACTCACTCTACACTCGCCCACTCACTCACTCTACACTCGCCCACTCACTCACTCTACACTCGCCCACTCACTCACTCTACACTCGCCCACTCACTCACTCTACACTCGCCCACTCACTCACTCTACACTCGCCCACTCACTCACTCTACACTCGCCCACTCACTCACTCTACACTCGCCCACTCACTCACTCTACACTCGCCCACTCACTCACTCTACACTCGCCCACTCACTCACTCTACACTCGCCCACTCACTCACTCTACACTCGCCCACTCACTCACTCTACACTCGCCCACTCACTCACTCTACACTCGCCCACTCACTCACTCTACACTCGCCCACTCACTCACTCTACACTCGCCCACTCACTCACTCTACACTCGCCCACTCACTCACTCTACACTCGCCCACTCACTCACTCTACACTCGCCCACTCACTCACTCTACACTCGCCCACTCACTCACTCTACACTCGCCCACTCACTCACTCTACACTCGCCCACTCACTCACTCTACACTCGCCCACTCACTCACTCTACACTCGCCCACTCACTCACTCTACACTCGCCCACTCACTCACTCTACACTCGCCCACTCACTCACTCTACACTCGCCCACTCACTCACTCTACACTCGCCCACTCACTCACTCTACACTCGCCCACTCACTCACTCTACACTCGCCCACTCACTCACTCTACACTCGCCCACTCACTCACTCTACACTCGCCCACTCACTCACTCTACACTCGCCCTACACTCGCCCACTCACTCACTCACTCTACACTCGCCCACTCACTCACTCTACACTCGCCCACTCACTCACTCTACACTCGCCCACTCACTCACTCTACACTCGCCCTACACTCGCCCACTCACTCACTCTACACTCGCCCACTCACTCTACCCTCGCCCACTCACGCTACACTCGCCCACTCACTCACTCTACACTCGCCCACTCACTCACTCTACACTCGCCCACTCACTCACTCTACACTCGCCCACTCACTCACTCTACACTCGCCCACTCACTCACTCTACACTCGCCCACTCGCTCACTCACTCACTCTACACTCGCCCACTCGCTCACTCCACACTCGCCTACTCGCTCACTCCACACTCGCCCACTCGCTCACTCCACACTCGCCCACTCGCTCACTCTACACTCGTCCACTCGCTCACTCTACACTCGCCCACTCGCTCACTCTACACTCGCCCACTCTACACTCGCCCACTCGCTCACTCACTCACTCGCCAACTCACTCACTCTACACTCACTCTACACACGCCCACTCACCCACTCACTCTACACTCGCCCACTCACTCTACACTCGCCCACTCACTCACTCTACACTCGCCCACTCACTCACTCTACACTCGCCCACTCACTCTACACTCGCCCACTCACTCACTCTACACTCGCCCACTCACTCACTCTACACTCGCCCTCTCACTCACTCTACACTCACTCACTCTACACTCGCCCACTCACTCACTCTACACTCGACCACTCACTCTACACTCACTCACTCTACACTCGCCCATTCACTAACTCTACACTCGCCCACTCACTCTACACTCGCCATACACTCGCCCACTCACTCACTCTACACTCGCCCACTCACTCACTCTACACTCGCCCACTCACTCACTCTACACTCACTCTACACTCGCCCACTCACTCACTCTACAGTCGCCCACTCACTCACTTCCAGTCCGCGGTTGCCGTTGCTTGGCAGACGCCGTCCGTGCGCCTGCTGCTCATGGCGTTCGCTGCGGGGATTGGAGGCAGTTTCCAGTGCGGGTTCAACTTCTCCTTAATCAACGTCCCCACAAAGGTGCCTCTCCGTTCCCGTTCACAGCACACACACAACGAGCACACATACAGCACACATACACACAGCACACATACAGCACACATACACACAGCATACATACACACACACAGCACGCACGCACAGAGCACACAGCAAACGCATGCACAGCACACTTACACAGAGAACACAGCACACACACAGCACATATACACAGAGAACACAGCAACTACACACAAAGATTACACACACCGCACTCGCACACAGCACACGCACACAGCGCACACAAATAGAGCAAGTCAAGATCTATAAGTATCTTGGGGTCATCCTGGATTCAAAACTGAATTTTAAAGATCACATTGATTATATTGGTAAAAATTGAAAAATATAAATTGGTTTTCTGTAACGACACAAGCACTACTCCCCCCCAATGTTCCGTTTGGAATTGATAAATGCCACCACACTGCTTCTACTTGACTACTGTGACATCGTGTATAAATCAGCCCCAAGTACTATACTGAAGAAGCTTGATTCCATCTATCACTAAGATTTACATTGAACTGCCCATATAGGACTCATCACTGTGATCTCTACATTGGGTCAAACTTAACATCTCTTAATGTTCGACGGCTTGTGCACCAGATCTTATTTATCCAAGATGTATTTACAAAAAAATCCGCAGACTACCTGCTGGATCTCCTCTCTGTTTCAAAGTACAAATTTGACCTCAGGTCTTCGCTCATTTACCAGCTTCACATTCCCTATTGCCGTACAAAAACTGGAGGAAGGGCCTTTGCTATTGATGCCCCCAGGGTCTGGAATGCTATTGCCAATAAACTGCAACTTGAATCACTACCAATGAGATCTTCTCTCAAACTGCTCTAGAGGAGTTGTACACCCCTAGCTGCCACTGCTATTCATTGGCGTAAAATAAAATAAAATGTTTCGCTCCGGATGACGCTGCAAAGTATTATCTGTATTTTGATTTAGCGTACTGATCTTAAAGGTGCATTGAAAAATTTGATACTCCGACTGATGCTTCTGTTGTTGTGGAGTAACTCATGCAGCCAGCTATGGCTCTAGGATTTGGTGTTACATGTTATTTATGTAGTTTATTGTAAAAATTCGGTCACACTCCCTATGATCACTGTTACGTTGCAATTATGGCTTTATTTTTTGGTGATTTCGAAAACGTTTTTTGGTTTGGACATGTTTGTTTTGTTGTAGTACGGAGTTAGACTGATGGCTTTAATCTAGTTTTCTTGTGGTTGTTGTTGTTGTTTGTGTAGGTCTACAATCTTGTTCCTGACATTCTTGGAGAGCTCTTTGGTCTTGGCCATGGTGGAGAGTTTGTAATCTGATTGATTGATTGCTTCTGTGGACAGGTGTCTTTCATAAGGTAACAAACTGAGATTAGGAGCACTCTCTTTAAAAGTGTGCTCCTAATCTCAGCTCGTTACCTGTATAAAAGACACCTGGGAGCCAGAAATCTTTCTGATTGAGAGGGGGTCAAATACGTATTTCCCTCATTAAAATTCAAATCAATTTATAACATTTTTGACATGCGTTTTTCCGGATTTTTTTGTTGTTATTCTGTCTCTCACTGTTCACATAAACCTTCTATTAGAATTATAGACTGATCATTTCTTTGTCAGTGGGCAAACGTACAAAATCAGCAGGGGATCAAATACTTTTTTCCCTCACTGTAACCTGTCCTGCGAGAGTCGGCCAATCTCCAGGCACTGGAAACCGTGGGACTTCCCTCTTGGGGCCCTTCGGATTAAAACCCGAAGTGCCAGGCAATTCCCCGCTAGGTCACTACGTGGGTACAAGTTCTGCACGTGTGCTCAGGGTGGGGGGTAGTGGACAATCGCGGCGCTTGTGGAGTTGCTCCGCGGTCGTGGTACCACACCTGCTGTATATTTTGAGTTTGCGTGTCTCTCCCCGGGGTCCTCAGGTTTTTTCCCTCCACATTTAGAATCAACGTCACGCGTTTAGAGTCTTTGGCTACTGCTATAAATGTCCACGTAATGATCGGCCACTTCGTTGAGCTATCATTTGTGACTAGGTCGCTTCTGACAATAAAGAGCTACATAGCAGCTCCGTGGGCCTGACCTGGTAAAATAAAAATAGTTTATACTCCTTGGTTCTTTCGGTAAAGTCACGTAGGTATAAAATAAAATAAATTAAATCACGACGTTTCGATTGCAACACAATCATCAGGTGGGAAAACCACAGCAAGAAGACATTTTTTGCTGAAGTGGTAGGGAGAGTTGCCGTGGTAAGAGGTTATATAGGCAAGGAAGGGGGAGGAGCAAGGGGGGGAGAGGTAGGGGTGGGGTAGGGGGAGGGGAGCTGCTACGTGGATTAGTGGTACCCGGCGGATATTATAGACGACAACCACTACAAAGTAATTAGGGTTTTACCTGGTTAATAACATCCTTCCAATGATTGCTCAATTTGTATCCATCTTTTCGGTTGAAGTTATGTCTGTTTATATATCTGGATGGCTTCAGGAACAAACCTTTGATAGTAGCCCGAAGGTTTGCAGAGTACCTTGGTCTCAGAAAAAAACAATATCATGAGAGCCCACCGCGTTATAACAATGGTCAGCTACGGCAGAGGTATTGGTTCTGCCATGTTTCAGATCTGCCTTGTGCTCGCGAACACGGTCTGAGATGTGTAGTTTAGTTTTACGTACATCCCTGCACGGATACTCGTGCTGCGTTATAGGTAATGAAGCAATTAGTTCCAAGCCTCTGCAAAGACACCACCTCGCTTGCATGAGATGGAGTGATCATGCCCGTGACATTTGAAACCCCAGGGGTGATTATGGAACAGGCCTGACTGCTGATGAGACCCAGAAGCACAAAGCTACTGACCCCTCAACCCTCCTTTAGTTTGTCTGTGTGAACCAATACTGTCCTGCTGATCTCGTTGCACCTTGTTGATCTGACACCGTCAAAGAGTGTAAACCACCACACGAACTCTGGTCATCCTCGCAGCAGCGGTCACCACATCGTGCGCTTTCAGATGCGCTTCTACAGCTGTCTGGAAGACTATTCCTTCCGATATTAGGAAGCCACTGAAGCTGTGCACTTTTAAATCATCTATATTATCAACCTCATTTCTTGAGAACTTATTTTCGTGATTAGTTTGTTGTCCTTCCCCCGCACCTCCGGTTAGCCGCGGTTTGCTATGTACGGTGCAAAAGAAGTTGAATAGCCATACATATTACACTACTATATACTACACACTACTATACATTACACTATACACTACACCACTATACTAAATTGGAAACTAATTTCCTTAGAACTGCTTTTTGTGTTTAGTTTTTTGTCCTTAGCGCACACCTCCGATTAGCACGTACGGTGGGAAAGAAGTTCAATATTGCTCAAGAAGTGAAAAGGCTGATGGACCATACCGTACCTTTTTATTTAATGGAGTTTAACCAACGTCAGTGTATTTACTACAGAGCCTGGATGCGAAGATCGGGTTGTCAAACACAAAGACAAAGATTCCCCGTATAGCCTTAACAGACTGTTGGAGCAAGTGCTGTTAGCGAGCACCTATGAAGGTCGGAATGACACACGAGGGGGTGGGTGGCCAACACCATGCCTGGCCGCCTTTGTCTCCTTAGTGACGATGTTTACACACAGCACCAGGTACTCATTTAAGGCTGAGTCTACCTAGGGGAGGCGTAGGACCGGTTTCATAATAATCGTCACTGGTGTTGTTCGTGAGCAGGAATCGAACTTGGGTCGCCATGTTCGTAGCTCAGCGCGCTAACCGCTACACTCGCACTCTCCTCTTAAGGTCAATTCACTTGTCACCGTCAGGGAAAACCACTGCGTCTGGACACGTGGCGGCGTGCGACAATCCCCAACATGCAAAAATTGCAAAATATGAAAAAAACATCTCAGCTCAACGTTTCTCTGCAGCTCCGCTCCCACAGTTCCGCATGATCCCCCTCGCCGTGTTGTGTTTCCCAGGAGGTGCAGGCGTTCATCAACAGCACGTGGCAGGCGCGATACGCACAGCCCGTGAGCGACAGCACGCTCACGCTGCTGTGGGCGGTCATCGCCTCGGTGTTTGCCGTGGGCGGGCTCGTGGGGGCTCTCGTGGCCAGGCCCATGGCGCTGCTCATGGGGAGGTGACGGGAACCGCGCGCTCGCTCGCTCGCAGACACGCGGCCCACGTACCGCATGCCGCATACTCACGCGGCCATAGAGTGCCCGGACCACACAGCCCGCATGCCACATACTACACGCACCCGTAATGCACATATCATATAATACACATGTAGTGGAGTAGAAAGTTGCGTATTGCATGGAAACAGAGACAGTGCGGGTTATGTTGGGTCAGCCTGTAACGAAGGCAAATACAGTGCAGAGTTTGGAGACAGAGTTGGAGACGGAGTTTGGAAACAGAGTGTGGAGCGGACGAAGAAGAGAATAGCCAGCAGTGGAGTGAGCATAGCGATAGCGGAGCTGAAGAAGAAAAGTAGTTAGCAGTGGAGAGAGAGCGTAGCGATAGCGGAGCTGGAGACGCTGTGTGCGAAGTCGCTGTGTGCGAAGATGCTGAGTGCGGAGTTGCTGAGTGTGGAGTTGCTGAGTGTGGAGTCGCTGTGTGCGGAGTTGCTGAGTGCGGAGCAAGCGAAGTAATCGTGGGGAGTGGAGAGACAAAGGTGGCGAGCGAGTCGAGTGAAGCACGGCGAGCGAGCCGTGGCGACCTGGATATTGTGGAATGTGGAGGACATGCTGAGAGTTGTAAATAAAGCGGTGGTCGAAGAAAGACAGAAGTTGTCCATATATCATACACGGCCATGCAGCGCGCATATCACACACGGCCAACACCAGTGACGATTATCTGAACTGGTCCTGGGCCTCCCCTAGGTTGACTTGGCCTCAAATGAGTACCTGGTGCGGTGTGTAAACATCGCCACTGGGGAGACAAAGGCGGCCGGGCGTGGTGCTGGCCACCCACCCCTCGTGTGGCCGGCCTTCACAGGTGCTGCTTGCTAACAGCACTTGCCCCAACAGTCTGTTGAGGCTACATGGGGGATCTTTGTCCGTGTGCGTGTGTTTAGGAAGGCCGGTCTCCTCGCTAACAACGCGTTCGCCATAATCGCCGCCCTGCTCATGGGGGTGAGCGAGGTGGCCACCTCGTTCGAGCTCATCATCATCGGCCGATTTCTCATCGGGGTGAACTGTGGTGAGTGGCGCGATGGTGGCGGTCGTGGGGATCCAACCGGAGCCCTCATTCCTCCTCGTGTGTCCAGGCTGTTTGATTATGAGGGTGCTGCTTTGGCGAGATGTTATCTCCCTCACCTAGTATGAAGGAGGTTGTGGGTTCGAACCAGACCCTGACAATACCTGTAAATTTGGAGTTTGCATGTTCTCTCTGTCTCTCTCTCCCCGTGGTCGAGTGGATTTTTATCCAGGTCCTCCGGTTTTTCCCCTCCCTACCCCACACATTAAACGTGCGTTTAGAGTATTCAGCTGCTATAAATTTCCACGAAATGATAAGCGACTTCGTTGAGCTCTCATTTGTGATAGCCAGATTGCTTCTGAAAAAATAACTACAGAGCTCAGTGGGGCCTTACCTGGAAAATAAAAAAAATTAAATAGCTTTGTACAGATAAACAGAAGCGGTTTCTGATGGGTGGACACGTGGTGTCGGCCGTCGTGGCCTGCGTGTGGCCTGCGTGTTCGCGTGGTGTGCGTGCAGGAGCGGGCCTCAGCCTGCACCCCATGTACCTGGCGGAGAGCGCCCCCCAGCACCAGAGGGGGGCCCTGGCCATGACCACGTCGATGTTCCTGACGGTCGGCATTCTGGTCGGACAGATCATGGGCCTGAGGTATGCGCGCTGAGATTCCCTTCGACCCTTTTCACGTTTCCGAGACGTCGTCTGCAAGTTGCAGGGTGGGGTGGGTGTCTCCAATCACCGTCGAATCTCAGAACGTGCAAGCGGCTTGGCGTTAGTTTTATTAAGAGAGGCGTAGCGCCGCTGTTTTTAAAGACGTTGTACTGCACTCTGCACAGAGAACCATAGCGACACGACCGCACTCTCTGAAAGCTAGCGCCAAACTGTGCCACGCGCCCTCCCGCGTGGCCCTTCTTATTTACATTCCATTCCGATGACATACACGTAGGGAGTTTTTCTTCCGATATGAATCAGAAGAAAAACTAATGATGTACACGTACGCCATCGAAATGGGAAAGGTTTAATAATCCACATCTATGACCTGCAGAGTAGGGTTAGAGGTCAAGACTCTACGGCGAGGGCAGTCACAACTGGTTCCCCACATATGGTGAGTCGATGGTGTCTGCCTAGTCACCATCAGCAACAAACTTACCGCATTAATATATTGCGGGGTTTTTTTTCTCCAAGTCAAATTTGGCTGAATTGCATCTCCTGAGAATAAAAGAAGTGACATTTTCTCTGCAACACCACGATGGTGTGGCGGGGGGGGGGGACATGTGCCGCAGTGTTGTGCACAGCAAAGCCACTCACGGCAATCTCGGATGTAGTTTTCTTGAAAGATCCTCTCTTACGTGCCGCACCCCCCTGCCCCCCTCCCCCCCCGTCCGCCACCCCATCTGCCCCCCCCCCCCCGAGTCAAATGCACGCGCTGCGCCGCCTCTAATCATGGGACGCCGCGGTGGCGAGATGTTATCTCCCTTGCCTGTTCTTCATGGAAGTCGTGGGTTTAAAACTATTTTCATTTTATCAGGTGAGGCCCACTGAGCTGTAGAGCTTGTTTTCAGAAGCGACCTGGCCACAAATGATAGCTCAACGAAGTGGCTTATCATCACATGGGCATTTATAGCAGCCAAATACTGATCACGCAAGTCGATTCTAAGTTTCGAGGGAAAAACGGGAGGACCCGGAGAAAAATGTATGCAGTCACAGGGAGAGAGGGAGAACACACAAACTTCAAATATACAGGCATCATCAGGGTCGGGATCAAACTCACAGCCTCCCGTATACCAGGCGAGGTAGTTAACATCTTGCCACTGCAGTGCCCCCTAACTGGAGTCTGGGAGGTAAGAGGGCCACGCTGGTGAGGTTCCACAGTGTGGGCACAGGGGCAGGGGCCCCTCCCACTGACTCCGGGTGCCAGGGTCGCTGACCCCGGGTGCAACGAAGAGGGCGTTGGTTGATGCTGGAGGTTTCCCAGGCAGGTGCTGGGTGGGAGCCCCCTCTGGCCCGTAGTGCTGGCGCTGCCTGCTCTCCCTGCCATCGTCCAGCTCCTCGTACTGCCCTGGTTTCCCGAGAGCCCCAGATACCTCCTCATCACCCGCAAGAAGCTGAAGGAGGCGCTCAAAGGTAGAAACGGCAAGTTCAAGACACGTCGTCATCGTCACTGTCACCATCATCTTCATCGACATCATTGTCATCGTCACTGTCATCAATGTCATCGTCATCACCGTCATCATCATAAACGTCACTGTCACCGTCATCATGGTCACCGTCATCGTCGTCACCATTGTTATCATCACCTTCACCGTCGTCATCATCATTATCATTGTCACCGCCGTCTTCTCTGCACCACCTCCATTGATACTTTGCGTGTAACATCTGGACATGGGAACTCACCCCGCCAGTGCACGGTGATCGCTCATCATCATGCGGGTCGTGGAAACGATCGAAGCGCTGTGAAGTCGTAATATCATCTCGTCTATTATCATTCTATCTCTGTTTCATTCACTCTATTATAGCCTTGTTACAATTTGAATTAAGCACGTGATGATGATCATGATGATGGTGATGGTGCTATCCATCAGTTCGGATCGATACTCAACGAGGAATCGATGGATTGTGACGACACTGCTGAACGCACCCATCGCGGCAGGGAGTACGAACGCTCGAGACTTCACGATTCGAGGCCCAGAAACTGCCACCCCCCCTTGGTGGGGTGGTGAGGGGGCTGTGCCTCTCCAGCCCAGGACTCATAGTGAACCCAGTTGGGGGTGGACACGGGGTGGACACGGGGTGGACACTACCTCCACAGCTCAGTTTCCTTCCAACCCCCGAGGGCCAGCTTGTTTCAGATGCTGGCCACCAGATTAAAACTATCAAGTATTTTTATTTTACCAGGTAAGGCCGACTGAGCTATATAGCTAGTTCACAGAAGCAACCTGGCCACACATGACAGCTCAACTAAGTGGCTTATAGTTGTTGTGCTGCAAATGATGACTCGGAGGCAGAGCTTCTGTAAGGGCTTACGCCAGCTGTTTATTCGGGGCTTACGCCGGGTATTTATTAAGGGATTAGAATTCTTCCCCAGGGGTAGGGGTCCTACACTAGGACCTTCACCCGGACCCTCACTGTCTGTTCCTTAGCTCGGCTAGCTCCCGGGCTCTCTCCTCTGCGTCGGCCGGGGGATCAGCCGACCGAGGAGAGCAGCCACTTCTATCGCTACCGCCGGTTTCTCTCCAGACTCCGTGAGCCCTATCCCTGGTTCACTCTTCCACCGTTCACCTTCCCGGGCTCCCACAACGACCCCGCTTTCGTCATGGGCTCCACCTTAAGTACCCAGAGGAGACATGACGTCATCGCCCCGCCTAGCGCGCATGACGTCACTTCCCATGACGTCATCGCACCGCAAGGTGCGCGTGACATAACGTCCTCGAACTACTCCTCTACATTACCCCCCCCCCGTGAAAAAAAAACAGCCGACCCGGCTGTAACCAATATGAAAGCGGACCCGGCAACCCGAACAGGAAGACATCAACAGAACACTGATAGTAAACATGTGACGTGTGTGTGAAGGCGGGACCGTCTGCAAAACATTAACACAACATTAGAGCAGCACGGTATAAAAAATATAGAATAAAGTTTGAAGGCCTTCATCACACGGGGCAACGTGGAACTGGGCGACGAAGGCTGGAGGCCAATGAAAACTGGCTGTCACCGGAGCCGCATGCCCCTCGAGTGCGTATGTGCCGCAGGCCCGCTCCCACGCGCGGCGTCGGTTGCCGGCACAGGCGGCACGCCAGCAGGCGACAGGCCTGTCGCCGGGGCATCCGACGGACGAGGCGTCGCCGCAGGTGTTACTGGCGAGGGCTCTGCAGGCGCACACACAGGCCGGACATCGCTCCTGCCATCACAATCCGTGCTGCCCGGCGTGTCGGACGCATCGATCACTGACCACTCAGGAAGTGGGGATGAATCCACGAGGCTAGGTGGCACATATCGTTTGAGCCGGGATGGGTGTCCTATCCAGTGCCGGCGACCAAACCGAATACGAACACATTGCGGCCGACGGACTTCCACGACCTCAACAGGGCCCTGCCAAGGGCGATGCAATTTAGGGGACGTGCCAACTGGTACTTGGGGGCAGTGTAGCCACGCCTTCTGGCCCCTTTTCCATGGAAGGCCGGCAGCTCGTTGTTTGGGCAGGCGCTCGTTAGCCGCCTGCCGGCTGGTCGAATTATCCACAGCCGCCTGCCGTGCCTCGCGCAGCCGGTCGAGCGCGACTTTCATTGTAGCAGGCACTGATAACCCCTTTTTGGAAGTCCCTATGTCTATTTGGACGTGCATCGGGGGCTCCGGTTCCCTTCCATACATTAAATAAAAAGGCGAGAACCCCGTTGAGGCATAAGGAGCCAACATATGCGTGGCCAAAACCCCCGGAACGAACAGGTCCAAGTCCTATTCTTAGCTCTTTCGGTAAAGTCACGTTGAAGGGAAACAATAAAATAATAAAATATATAAAACAATAAAATTCTCACGACGTTTCGACCATAACACAAACGGTCGTCATCAGGTGTGTCGGTTTGCAAATCGTACACACCTGATGACGACCGTTTGTGTTATGGTCGAAACGTCGTGATAATTTTTATTGTTTTATATATTTTTTATTGTTTCCCTTCAACGTGACTTTACCGAAAGAGCTAAGAATATGAATTACTGCAGTCACGAAAGCTTTAAATCAAAATTTAGGTCCAAGTCCGATTGGGACGTATTCACGTGGTGGCACAGCGTGGACGTGAGGGTTCGGTTCAACCTCTCTACCATCCCGTCAGACTGAGGGTGGTAGGGCGAGGTGCAGATTTTCTTGGTGCCAAGGAGGTCGCACACTTCCTTGAGCAACCGGGAAAGAAAATTCCGCCCTTGGTCAGTTAACAGTTGTTCAGGCTCACCCTTGTCCAGAACGTACCCTTGTACGAACACCTCGGTGATGGAAGAGACGGATTGGGCCACCAGAGGCCACACCATAGGCCAACGTGTGAGGTACTCGACGCCCACCAAGAGGTATTTATGGCCCCGTTGGGATGCTGAGAATGGGCCCAAAATGTCGAGTGCCATGAGATCATTGACACGAGAAACCGGATGGACTGCAGTGGAGCCCGATCCTGGCCAATTGGGGCCTTCCTCCACGCACAGTCATGGCAACCTTTCAAAACCAGTGCCACATCATCCTCCACACCCGGCCAATAGGAGTCCCGTTTAAGGGTCAACAAGGACTTATTGTAGCCAAGGTGCATAAGTTTCTCGTGAATGGCTCGGGTCAATTTACCTCGCAGGGCAGTGGGTACAATCACACAGTAACGTTCCAATTGGGCATCCCAACGCATGAGGAAGCCGTCATGCACAGCGACCACCGGGGCAGCCGACGGAGCTGAGCTCCGGGCAATTGGCCCAACACGGCGTCGTAGCTTCAGCAGAGAGGAATCCTCGATCTGTAACTTGGACCATACCTCTCGGGGGAGTCCCAGGCCAAAATCAACAGGCAACGCCACACCCGGAGGGGAGGCCGCTTCGGCCTATGCAACCAACTGGGCCGCGGCGTGCACTGGAATCCTGCAGCGACTTGAACCCAGGGCACAAGCGCACCCACCCTCCGTAGGCAACCTGGATAGCCCATCAGCATTACCATGCTGTGCCACCTTCCTGTGGATGACGTCAAAGGGGTATTCCTGCAGCACCTCGAGCGGGACAGCTGACCCGAGGGCTGGTCGATCTCCAGTGAATATTGCAGGGCCGCATGGTCTGTCCGGACGGTAAACCGCCTGCCATACAAATAAGGCCAATACAGCTGCACAAAGAATACTATGGCAAGCAGCTCCCTCCGGGTCACACAATACCACTGTTCAGTGGGGGACAAAACGCGACTGCCATAGGCCACAACCCTCTCAACCCCATCGAGCACCTGAGCCAGGACTGCCCCGATGCCCATGTCGCTGGCATCGGTGTCGGGAAGGAAGGGTATCCCAAGGGCGGCGCATCCACCAAACATGTGCGAAGCGCAAGAAAGGCGGCATCCTCCTCTACGCCCCAGCGAAACTTTTGACCTTTGGCAGAGAGTGCGTGCAGTGGCTTCGCTATCGTCGCAAAATCGCGCACAAACCAACGATAATACAATGCGAAACCAACAAAGTTACACATCTCAGCAACAGATGTGGGAAACGGCCACGTCCGGACACAAGCTGTCGTTTCCAGATCCATGGTGACACCTGACGCACTAAGAATATGTACCAAATACTTCACCGATGGTTGTAACAAATTACACTTCGAGGGTTTAAACTTAAAGCCCGCAGCACGCACTTTGGCGAACACTGACTCAAGATGTTGCAAGTGCTCGTCAAACGTATGGCCGAAAATGATAACATCATCCAAGTAAATCAAACAAGACTCCCACTGTAGCCCCACCAAGACCATCTCCATGAGATGCTGGAAGGTGGCCGGGGCCGAATGGAGACCCATAGGAAGCCAATTAAATTGGAACAGCCCCTGGGGTGTGCGGAACGCGTTTTGGGTCTCGAGGCCTCGTCCAGTGGCAATTGCCAGAAGCCTGAGAGCAAGTCTAGGGTTGAAAAGAACCGCGCAACTGAGAGGGCGTCCAGGGAATCATCCATGCGAGGCTTGGATATGCATCAGCCACCGAGATCTTGTTTAATTTATGGAAACGACGCAGAATCAGAGACTCCCATCCCGTTTCTTGACTAGCACAATGGGGGCACCCCAAGGGCGAGTGGATGGAGAGATAATGCCCGCTGCCAACATCTCGTCGACGGCCAAGCCGGGCTGTAGCGGTGCGAATTTAGCCGAATAGGGGCCGAATCACCCATGTCTATGTGATGTTCCAAAAGAGTGGTGCGACCAAGATCGAATTTACTCTGACTAAACACATCGATGAATCTCTCGATGAGTTTGCGGAGCCGCTGGCTCTCCTCAGAGAATAACGAGTCATTCTCGTTACACAGCGCATCGATCCACGATGCGTCGGTCCTCCCCTCGTGCATCACGCCCATCATCGGGTGGAGGGCCCGGGGTTGCGTGTGCCAAAACGGCGCCGGCCGGAATCACGATCGGCAAGGGCCCCGTATTGAGGACCTGCAAAAAGGGGTCCTGGCCCTCCGACACGGCCGTCAAGGCGCCTACCAACCCGTTCGTTCTCGTAAAGTAATTGGAGGGAGACAAAAGGATGCCTGTCTCCGGGGACTCCAATTTCAGGGGTCGGCGCAGCTTGAGGGGTAGCAGGATTTGTGACACCGGCGGAACGGTTACGGACACCTTATTCAGGGCCCGCACACTGGCGGCAAGGGGGGACAGAACGGTGGGAGACTGCAGGAAGTGCAACCGACCCCCCAATGGCATTTCCACACAACCCTGGTCTACGAGATTCCGAATGGGCATCTTGGCCAGAAAGTCAGTCCCCAAGAGACATGGCACTGCCAAGGTCCTGGAAACTAGAATGGGCCCCACCAATTCGATCTCGCCAATCCTGACCGATGCCACAATGTGGTCTAAATGCCCAAACTGCCGCCATTTGCGGCAACACAAGCCCCCTAAACCGGCCGTAACGGACCAACGTTGTATGGCAACAACTGAAAAATACACTCGGATATAATAGTGGCGGACGCCCCCGTGTCCACCAAAACCTGCACTTCGACCCCCTGCACATACCCAGTCACCGCCGAGGATCCGGCAGCGGCCGCCACAACCCGATGCGCAAGCACATTCTATTGGCGAATCCGCCTAGACCACCCGGAAGATGGCAACGAGCGCGCAGGGGGTGAACCCGACCCCCCGGGGATGATCCTGCAATGATGGACCCTAACCCCGCTAGATGCGTGAGGTGAGGGGAGCGGCCGTGTGATCGATGCGTCGCGACTCACCTGGGGCCCAGTAGCCGATGCTGACATGGAGCCGGGGGAAGGCGGAGAGGCCCTGTTGAAAGCCCCGGGAGTGTTGCGGCAGCTCCGCTCGATATGGCCCTGCTGACCACAGCGGAAGCAGGCCACGGTTGCGGAGCCTTGCGGACGAGGAGGTCCCGCCCGCCATCGCTGCTCCGGCCGGCGACCTCCGGCGCCCCTCCCGCGCCAGTCGGCCACCACCAGGGCCGCGAGGGCGTCTTCCCCATGAGGTGCAGCCGCCCCCGCAGGCGCTGGAACCCCCGCGCACGCCGCCACCCCGGGCGACTGTCGCAGGGCGAGTTGGGCCTATATATTTTGCGCCACCTTTAATTATGTAATCTGGCCTTCCTCAGCGATGGATAAGGCGATCCCGAGCTCGCGCGCAAGGGACAGCAATCGTTCCAGGGTTAGCCAGTCCAGCGCCTTGCCTTCAAGGTCGGGGTAGGCAGCCTGTGCCAGCGCCAGCAGGGAGCAGCGGAAAGCGAGTGGTGGCTCCCCCTCCTCCCGCCGCCGCAGTGAAAATTGCATGTGCGCGCTGGACGGTGGCTCGAACACCACAGCCATCTTTTGGTAAGCCGCTGGAAGCGACGCCCTATCCGCTGGGGGAATTGAATTAAATGCCTGCAGCGCCCTGTCATCCAGGCATGTAGGGAGTGCCCGAAGAGCCTCCTCCATAGGCCAGCCCACCGATACGTACGCTGCATCGAAGCAGTCCTGAAACGCCAGCCAGTCGCCCCCTGTCGCGATGAACGGGCGGACAGGTGGCAACCAATGAAGCTGCTGGCTGCCCGACGTGAGCCCCGGCAAGGACGCGCACACGGGCACACCCGACGGCGTCGCTAAGGGCGCAGCAGCGACGCCGGGTTGCCGAGCCGTGTCGGCACCGGCGCCCAGCTGCGGAGTCGCGGCGGCAACAGCGGCGGGACCCAAAATGGCGGGAAACTACCGCTCCTGCTCCAAAACCGTGTCGGGTACGCGCCTTCTCACCCCAACCTTGGCCACCGTGATGGCGAGCTACGTGACCGTCCGCAGGAGCAGCTCCAGCTGGCCCGAGAGGACACTCCATGTGTCCGGCGGCGGCGCGCAGGCACCCATGGCCGCCCTCTCCTCCTGCTCTGGGCGGCTCGGCTCCCCGGGGCGCATCTCCGGGGCCCCGGTCTCCGGGGTCACTGTGGGACCCTCCTCCGCACTGTCGTCGTCCTCGGAATGCACCGCAGGTGGGTTTTTTCATCTCGCGCCTGACTTTAACATGGCAGCGAGCACTGTAGACACTTCTGGCACCAGTTGTTGTGGTGCAAATGATGACTCGGAGGCAGAGCTTCTGTAAGGGCTTACGCCAGATGTTTATTAGGGGCTTATGCCGGGTATTTATTAAGGGATTAGAATTCTTCCTCAGGGGTAGGGGTCCTACACTAGGACCTTCACCCAGACCCTCACTGTCTGTTCCTTAGCTCGGCTAGCTCCCAGGCTCTCTCCTCTGTGTCGGCCGGGGGATCAGCCAACACCGACCGACCGAGGAGAGCAGCCACTCCTATCGCTACCGCCGGCTTCTCTCCAAACTCCGTGAGCCCTACCCCTAGTTCACTCTTCCACCGTTCACGACCCCGCTTTCGTCACGGGCTCCACCTTAAGCACCCAGAGGAGACATGAAGTCATCGCCCCGCCCAGCGCTCATGACGTCACTTCTCATGACGTCATCGCACCGGAAGGTGAGCATGATGTAACGTCCCCGAACTACTCCTCTACATCATCATGTGGAAATTTAAAGCAGCAGCCGAATAATCTAAACATGCATTGATTCTAAATGTGGAGGGAATAAACGGAGGACCTGGAGAAAAACAGCAAGCGTCCGGGTCGGGATCGATCCCACGACCTCCCCTATACCAGGCGAGGTAGTCAACATCTTGCCACCGCGGTGGCGATGCCGGTCGTGAGTGACGTCGACTGTGCCCCTCAGCCCTCCGCTGGCTCCGAGGGCGCTCCGTGAGCCTGCAGAGCGTGAAGCTGGAGCTGGAGGCGATGAGCGCCGAGCAGAGCCACGCGGCGTCGGGCGTCGCGCGCACCGGGATGCTGGGGGTGCTGCGCGAGCGCTCCACCCGCCGGCAGCTCGTCGTGGTGGTGACGCTCAACATCACCCAGCAGCTGAGCGGCATCAACGCGGTGAGCGGGAGGGGGAGCGGGAGGGGCGAGGGGGGAGTGGGAGGGACGAGGGGGGAGCGGGAGGGGAGGGCGGGGGCGTTGTGATGCAGCGCTTGGCATAATCGATGGACGCAGCATCAGTGGCTAAGCATCGAATCGCGTTGCGTGAGAGTCGGTCTTCGTGACATCCACACTGTTCAACCACCACGAGGTTTAACACAAATATCTTTAGTATCTGGTGTTTCACGGTGACACACTGCCTGGGACCGTGACGAGGCGAGCCACATCATCACGAGTGCCTCGGTGGCGATATGTTAACTCCCTCGACTGGCATGCAGTAGGTCATGTACTGTGCGTACGATTTGCATATGTAATTATTGAGTGATGCCTACGCTCATGATTTAATGCATGTATGTAACTTCTTTCACACCCATACGTAGCCAACCATGCCAATCGGAGGTGCGGGGGAAAGGACAACAAACTGATGGATATGTGATCAGCAAGCAACATTTCTGCTTTAATAGACATTCACCAAATGTTGGGACGTCGCGGACCGGACTTGGCTACCACATTGACTCCCCCGCCCGCTCCTTGCCCTTCCTGTGTGTGTCCGATCTGTTCTATTCAGATCTACTTCTACTCCACCTACATCTTCAAAGAGGCAGAGATCACAGAGGAGCACATTCCCTACGTGACACTGGGAACCGGAGTGGCGGAAATCCTGACGGCCGTGACCTGCGTGAGTGGACACCTAGCCTGGCGTGTAGCGGGTCTCACACGCCTCCTCCTCCTTCTCACCCCCACCTCCTCACCCCCGCCTCTCGGCCACCACCTCCCGGACATCCTCAGCCATGCACTCAATGCGCTTCCTTGGGACTATCTGCACCCCTCCACTGGAATAAACTCCCCCTGGACATTAAGCAGCACTCCCCATAAACTCAACACTGCACGTAGACTCAACACTGCCTGTAGACTCAACACTGCCTGTAAATTCAACGCTTCACATAGACTCAACGCTACCCCTAAACCCAATGCTGCCCATAGACTCAACACTGCCCGTAAAACTCAACACTGCCCACAGACTCAACACTGCCCCCTGTACATTAAGCAGTACTCCCCACCCCCTCCTTAACCTCCTTACGTTCCTCTCTTAAAGCCTCACCTCTTCTCTATCGGGCCATTCCCTTCCTCTTTCCTTCCCTCTCCCCTCCAGCCCTTGCCTCCCCTACCCTGTTGTATGTATGTTGAAAATCTTTTACACCATATGTAGCCAACCACACGAATTGGAGGTGTGGGGGAAGGACAACAAATTAACAAAAAAAGCAGTTCTAAATAATTGAGTTTCCAATTTAGATTTAAAAGTGCACAGCTCCAGTGGCTTCCTAATATCAGAGGAAGAGCGTTCCAGGTGGCCGCAGAAGCGCATCTGAAAGTGGGCAATGCAGTGATCGTCTTTGTTCGATAGCTAACCAATACTGCTGCGAGGATGACCAGAGTTCGTGTGATGGTTAATGCTCCTTTTTGAGATCAGCGAGGTATTGTGGTTCATTTGTGGCAAGCACTTTGTGGGTAATGAGTGCAACCTTATAATAATGTATTCGTTTGGCAGCCGGAAGCCAATGCAGTTCGGCAAGCACTGGACGGACATAGTCGGATCTTGCAGTACCCATCACGGCACCTGTGAAATAATTTTCTACACGCTGCAGCTTAGTACTGTTTTTTGGCAGACGTTCTGCTTTCCAAAATGCCGTGCAGAAATTGTCATTCACCTGCCTCTCTCTTCGCCCCTCCCGATCCCCATTTATCTGCCTCTGCCAGGGAATGATCATTGATTGGCTGGGACGTCGCCCCCTGCTGATCGCTGGCTACTCCCTCATGGGCCTGTGCTGCATTCTGATCACCATTGGACTGGCGTTACAGGTCCGACCCGTTGACCTTTCTTTCTTCCCCCACCGGCCACACTGTAGTGCGAGGGAGAGGTCGGTGTGTCCCGTGCATGCCGACTGATGTATGTTGAAGTTCTTTCGCACCGCAAGTAGCCATCCGTCCTAATTGGAGGTGCGGTAATGGCCTTCATGGGAGATCGCAAACAGCACTGCGTCGTTTTTGAAAGATCGTTGTGATGTGCTCTTTGGGCGAGCCGGAAGGCCATGGCGAAACGTTTATCTGAAGCGCTACCGGATGTGCCGAGGGTCGGCGGCGGTGGCAACAGCAGCGGCGGTGGTGGTGGCGATGGCGGTGGTGGCAGCTATGGCAGTGGTGGTGGCGCAGTGGTGACGGTCATAGCGGTGGTGGTAGTGGCGTGGTTGTGGTGGTGGCGGCGATGGGCGTGGTGGTGGTGGTGGTGGCGACAGTGGTGGTTGTGGTGGTGGTGTGGTTATGCCAGTGGTTTTACATGAAACGCGGCTCTGCTGAAGGCTGGGACACCCCGGGGTTGTCCTTGCGTGCGTATCAACGCGTTTAGTTCGTCTCTTGGTTAAATACAGGAGACGACAATGACAACAACGAGCATGCACTTGCAGATGTAATTATCTGCTCGTTCCTTCAACGTCAAAAATGTAAACTCGACGTTAACAATGGACCGCGGATCTCAACTCGTCGCGAGGGATGAGTTGACCGTGTGGGTCGAGTTGTGGATGATCGCCGATAACGCGAACGACTCTTTGGTGGTGACAGCGATGCCTGTGATCAAGCGTGGCAGCTGGCAGCCAATCGCTCGAGAGGCGACCCAGGCGGCGTTGAGGGTGGGCCCAGTCGGCAGGCAGTCGCGGTGGTCACCTCTGGAGAATCGCAAAGCCCTCCACCGCAGCCAAGAGCTTTGCGGTCCCCAACCGTTGACTATAGATCTAGGAGTCACTTGGGTGTGATGGCAGCAGCAATGATGATGATAATGTTCAGGAGCTCGATGCCAATGTGGAGGTCCCCTGCTGCTGCTGCTGCTGGCCGCGACGAGAGGGCTTCAGCAGAGAGAGAGTTCGTGTCGTGTCGCTGTTCCTCCTCCCCCGGTGAAGCAACGCAGACCACAGTGGGTTCACTGTGCGGTCCATAGTCTGGGTTGCATGGCCACAATCGCACTCCTGTGGCCTTGTGCCTTTAATATAGCTCTACGAGTTCCTATGTATCTCTATGGTTCTCTTTGTGTTTCTATGTATCGCTATGCTTCTCTTTGTGTCTCTATGGGTCTCTATTGGTGTATTGTGTTGTCCAAAATTTGGGTTGCATGGCCACAATGGCACTACTGCAGCTGTGTATTTAATTTTCCATTCATGAAGGAGAATGCGATGCAGCATCGGCCTGCTACCAATGTTCTTATGCGTTTGACAGTTCCACCACCGGTGCCTTCGAGAAATGTCAAAGCTAGGAGGTGCAATGTTTGGGTGTGGAATGAGGTGTCTATTAATGAGGTGTTTGTTATCCCGTACGTGCCACTGCGTTCGCCAGCAGCGTTCTTCCGGATCTGCGTGGTGAGATCCTAGGATGGTAGCAACAGCGGTAGCACGATCCCAAAGGGTATTGGATCGGCACTTGAGTTGACTGCAGCCAGGAACACCGGTTGAGGTCTTTCTTGATGACGGAGCAGGTGGTTTGTCGTTTGGCACAAAAGCGCGTAGACGACTCCCTTGCAGCGTGGGCGTGATCTCTCCTGCAGATGTTTGGTGGCAGAATGTTCGTCAGAACGGGGAAACCCCCCAGGGGGTCGTGGTGTGACGACTGGCGAAGACGGGTTTAATGGTTATTTAAATGATGACGATGACTGGAACTGCGATCGCGCGTCACTGTGCGGAACCTCCCGTTGTTTCCGCCCCCCCCCCCCACTCGCTCCCTCCCTTAGATGCGCATCCCGGCTCTGTCGTACTTCAGCATCGCCATCGTATTTGCCTACATCCTGAGCTTCGGAATCGGACCTGGTGAGATCGACACGTTGTGACGCGGTGGGGGGGATGGGGGCGGTGGGGTGGGGAGGGCGGTGGGGGGGGTGGCAGCTCGGCCTCCCCCCGAGCCGGCAGCAGAGTGAACCAGGGCAGTGAACTTGGGCTGAAACCACAGCTCCCTTTAAAACCTCGAATATCGTTTAAAGAACCGGACTGCTGATGAGACCTAGTCGGTTGAAAGTAGAGCGACGTTTGCTTGCATCATGCATTGTCGTGAAATGTTGATTTAAAACGCCAGGAGGCTGACGATGCTGGACTAGTAACACGACATTGTATGGAGGCATGAACTCTGCTGCTTTAAACTAACCTAAAAACTAAACTAAAGAATGTTTCATTTTAGCAGGTAAGACCCATGGAGGTACTGTATGTAGTTATTTTTCAAAAGTGACCCAGCCACAAATGATAGCTCAACGAAGTGGCTTATCGTGTGAACATTTATTGTAGCCACATACTCTAAGCGCGTGACGTTAATTCTAAACGTGGAGGGAAAAACCGGAGGACCCGGAGAAAAATCCACGCAACCATGGGGAGAACACGCAAACTCCAAATATACAGCAGGCGTCAGGGTCAGGATCGAACCCACAACCTCCTGTATACCGGGCGAGGTAGTGAACGTCTCGCCACCGCGACACGACGGATGTCTGCTGCTTGACACGTCACCCACAACGCCGCCCGCCCGCCCCCCCCCCCCCCCCCCAACGGGGAAGGTGGCATCCTGAACGTCCTGCCGGCTGAGCTCTTCTCCCATCATGCGCGCCCCACCGCCTACTCCATCGGCGGATGCGTCAACTGGTTGAGCTTCTTCGTCATCGGCATCGTCTTCCCCTTCCTTGTGGTCAGTGCTGCTGCTGCTCCCTGCTCCCCCTCCCTCCCTCCCCACCCCTCCCTCCTGCCGGTGCTGCTCCCCCTCCTCGCGTGCGGCATTGAGATGGCGACTGGCAGAGCAGCGCGGCCGCGGCGTCGCTTTGCCGGTCGTCGTCTCCTTGGGTCTCGGGTCGCCCACTCGGCCGTCATGCTCGGTTCAGTTTCACACCACCCCCGCCCCACCGACTTGAAGCTCTCCGCAGTGACCGTCGTCTTTGCCTTCGCCATCATCGGCTGTGACCGCGTGGGTTTGGGGATTTGAGACAGCTGCCTCGTGATGAAGTGAGGGCACCCTGCAAGTGGCAAGATGAGTGAAGCTGGTTGTACACCCCCCCCCCCCCCACTTCACTGCTGGTCTCCGTGTCCCCTTGTCTCCACGTGAGAGTGAGATGGTGGCGAGATGTTAACTAGCTCGCCGGATATGCATGAGATCGTGGGTTCGATCCCGACTCTTACGGCTGCTGTATATTTGGAGTTTGCATGTCTCTATCCCCGTGGTCACGTGAATTCTTCTCTGAGTCCTCTGCTTTTCCCCTCCATATTTAGAATCAACGTGCGTTTAGAGAAGTAGTTCTTAACCTTTACTGCAGCCTGCATCCTTTGGTTCTCAGGGCATCTCACACCCCCAGGGGGTGCATGCACCCCAGGTTAAGAACCAGTGGTTTAGAGTATTTGGCTGCTATCAACTTCAACGTGATAAGTCGCTTCCGTTGAGCTATCATTCGCGATAGTCGGGTCCGCTTCTGAAAAAAAGAGCTGAACAGATCAGTGAAGCCTTACCTGGTAAAATAAAAAAAAGTAAAATAAAAAGTTTCGTTTAGTTCAGAGGCTGAGCGAAACTGGATACACAAATCAATCTGCTGGCTGTGCTACCACCGTACCCTCGGCAAGCCAGGAGATGGCAACCTCCATGCTTCGTTGGTGGAACGGGCATCGACGGTGTGTGTATGTACGGACGGGGACTCCTCCACTTACGAACTTCGACTTACGAAACTTTCAGAGATACGAACAAACCTGTCCGTATGTCCAGTTGCCTGTTTGGAGCGAGAGTCGTAAGTTCAACGACTGCACGATAGATGGTGGTGGTGGCGTCTACATCTGCAGGACGCGAAGAACCAGTGGCATCTACATGTACAGGAGATTATGCAATTTTTTAAGCCATTCCCCGTGTTTAGTATACATGCCATACAACTTGTTTGGAATCGACAGGAGTAAAGTTGGACTTACGAACAAATCGACTTACGAACAGACCTGGAACCTCACTCGTTCGTAAGTAGAGGAGTCCCTTTACAGTTGCTCATCGATTATCTGGCTTCCAACATCCGGCGGTCCAGGTCTGATCCGACAAAACCGCTCCAGTCCGGCAATCGGCAACATGTGCATGTGACAGAAAAAAGTATCTATGCTTGATTTCAGTTTTAAATATTATATACGGCACATTATACACTACATACAACTTAAACGATGAAAATACTGCGCGTATTTACATCACCCCATGCAGAGTCTTTGAGATTGAAGTGTTAGGTACAAACCTGTCAACCCCTTTATCAGTGCCTACCTTATTACAGACCAATTCAGACCTTATTGGTCACCCCGTGCCCTTATACATTTCAACGTTCATCCTACAAAGTCCCATCACAACGGAGAAACACAAATAAATAGAAAAATTAATTTGGCCGTATTGAAATGGCTGTATGCCGTATGGACCTGAGAACTCAATTTCCCTGTACAAGAATACGAGTTAACCGCATGGGTTAATAGGTATGTAATTACGGTACAGTAAATACAGTATTTTTTTTAAGTAGGATATTTATTTTTGTCTTTGTCTTATTTATGCCAATTTCATATCGTAAACATTTAAAACATAAAATCATTTAACACCTAAAATCAAATGTCATAGAATTATGTGAAAAAAGTAATCTATTTTAAATATAGATGAGTCGCAACTATCCGACGTTTTTGAAAATCCAGCCCCCGAAGCCACTGGATAATCGATTATCTCCCGTACCTTGCACGTCTTGCGTGAGCGCGTAACGCGCGTGAGACTGGCAAGCGAGGGTTGTCTCTCAAAAACTAAAACTATTTTTATTTCACCAGGTAAGCTAATGTAGTATCTCTTTTTCAGAAGCGACGACCTAGCTATCACAAATGACAGCACCTAAGTGGCTTATCATCATCACGTGGGAATTTATAGCAGCAGCCAAATGCTCTGAACGCGTGATGTTGATTATAAATGGAGGGAAAAAAACGGAGGACCCGGATAAAAAATGCACGCGACCACGGGGAGAGCAACACACGCAAACTCCAAATATGACCGCGTTCATTACACACACGCAAAGTGCTTGCCACAAGTGAACCACAATACCTTGCCGATCTCGTCAAAGACCGGAAACCATCATCACGCGAACCCCGATTATCGTTGCAAGCAGCGGTGGCTTCTGGCTGGCCGTCAAACAAAGACGGTGGTCGCCGCAGCACGTGCTTTCGAATGCGCTTCTGCGGCCGTCTGGAACGCTCTTCGTTCCAATATTAGGAAACCACTGGAGCTGTGCATTTTTAGATCATCTAGATTGACAATCTCATTTCTTTAGAACTGCTTTTAGTGCTTAGTTTGTTGTCCTTACCCCCGCACCTCCAATTAGCGCGTTTGGCTACGTACGGTGCGAAAGAAGTTCAACATACAGTTCATACAACCCAAGATACACATTAATATTCCTCCTACACTTGTTTAACCCAGGAAGGCCTCACTGGATCTCAAGATATTTTTTTATGAGGTTCCTGCCACGTTATTGCAGTAAGGGGCGATGTTGTTGCAGCTGCTACTTGCGTTATTTGCGGGCAATTTTTCACCATTGGGATATTTGTCCAATGCCAAGCTGCATTGCGCGTGTGGTTGCTTTAGCTGTGGGAGAACATCCGGGCTCTACACACGCGCACACTCAAACAAAAGACGAAGATTAAGATCCACCGTGTGACGCCATCACATCTACGCCTCTTTAAGGAACGAAACAGGAGGATTTTTCCACAAAATTTGGCTATCGCCTGATTAAGCTAGTTGCAATTACTGGCGAAACGTCAGACTCAGATTCTAAATGTTGTGGCTTTCCTCCCCAACACACCGATGTGCTGCTGTACTAGAAACGAATTGGCACTTTCTGTCTACGTGACAAACCTTGCGAATCGGCTGTGTCGGGTGGTGGCGGGTTTAACGACACATTTATATATTTACGCGATCTAACCCAAAACAACGATATTATGCTGTTTGTTCGTGCGCAACTATGAAGACCAGTATGGCACATAAGCGGGTGGATGGCCAACACCATGCCCGGCCGCCTTTGTCTCCCCAGTGGCGGTTCAGATAATCGTCACCGTGTTGGTGGCCGTGGGCGGGAATTGAACTCGGATCGCACACTTACTCTCACACTCTGTAAAACAGGGAGAACGTACGAATCGCACACGGCCAATCGTCGTTGATTAGACGTGCGTGTGTTCTGGGAGCGGTGGCGCAGTGGTTAGCACACTGTGCTCTGAAACCGGTGACCCAAGTTCGATTCCCGTGTTACGACCAACATGAGTGACGATTTTCTTAATCTGTCCTGGGCCTCTCGTAGGTCAAATCATCCTGAAATGAGTACCTGGTGCAGTGTGTAAACACCGCCACTGGGAAGACAAAGGTGGCCGGGCATGGCGCTGGCTACCCATCCCCTCGTACGCAGTGCTGGCCTTCGTAGGCGGTGCTCACTAACAGCACTTGCCCCAACAGTCTGTTAGACTATACGGGTGATTTTGATTTAAAGCTTTCGTGACTGCAGTAATTCATATTCTTAGTTCTTTCGGTAAAGTCACGTTGAAGGGAAACAATAAAATAATAAATAATATGTAAAACAATAACAATTCTCACGACGTTTCGACCATAACACAAACGGTCGTCATCATTGTGTTATGGTCGAAACGTCGTGAGAATTTTTATTGTTTTATATATATTTTATTATTTTATTGTTTCCCTTCAACGTGACTTTACCGAAAGAACTAAGAATATATACGGGTGATCTTTGTCTATGTTTGGGGAGCCGTAGTGTAACGGTTAGCCGTGCTGCGCTACAATCCTGTTGACCCGAGTTCGATTCCTGCTCACAGCCAATACCGGTGACGATTATCTGAAATCGCTTCTGGGGCCTCCCCAAGGTGGACTTAACCTCAACTGAGTACCTGGTGTGGTGTGTAAACATCGCCACTAGGGAGACAAATGCTGTCGGGCACCTAATGAAGGCTGCCGTGCCAGCCTTCATAGGTGCTCAGTAACAGCACTTGCCCCCAACATTCAGTTAATGCTACCTTTGTGTCTTTGTTCTCCCCCAGAGGGCTACAGGGCCCTACTGCTTCCTCCTGTTCCTGGCGAACAGCGTGGCCGGCGTGCTGCTCGTCTGCTGCCTCCTCCCGGAGACCAAGAACTGCTCCTTCCTGGAAGTGTCGGAACTCTTTGCCGCGAGGAGGAGCGGCTGCTACGGGACGCAGGGCACTGCAGCAACGAGCGGCGATTAGCAGAGCGGGGTCACATTTTTACATCTTGCCGAGGCAGGTCTTCGCCGCACGTCGGTACCGACTGCTGCCGAGGAGGGGGGGAAGACCCCCGTCTCCCGGTGTCGGGGGGGGGGGGGGGGGGGGCGGGGGGGGGGTCGTCCGCCGGGGGTTTTGAGGCTCGCGACGGCCGCCCCTTCGAAGGAAACCTTCACCGCCCGAGTCTCCGTTGGCGACGCTTGTGGCGGGGGGGGGGGGGGGGGTGGTCGCGCCTTTCTTGTTTGGACATTTTTGTTCTCCCCCCCATCCCGTTCCACGTGGGGTTTCTCTGGTTTCCTCCCGTAGCTAATTACCCACTGGGTGCAACTGGCATTGACCAAACCGCATCCCAATGCTGGGAAAGAGTCAACTGCAAGTTGCTCAGTTGGGATCACACAGCAGCAGCATCAAGGACCAACGTTGCCCCCCACCACTACTGTGAAAAACTCAGAATCAGAATCTTTATTTGTACTGGAGGAATACGATGAGCTATAAAGCTCTTTGTCACAGATGTCCCCCGTAGGTGCGGGTCAGAAAGTTACTTGGCAGGACCCTCCTGAAAACGAGTCTCGAGACTCGGAGGATTTTTTTTTTGGATAACCCATTGGCAACATCGTTCGGATCATTAGAGACCGTTTTTTTCTCCCCACTGCTGGATGAAGAAGGCACCCTCACCGTTTGGTACACGTGGAGTTTCATCCTTGAGACTCTGCTGAGTAAGCGAGGAGGGCATCGCTGTGACCCTCTCTTTATGGTGGCGTGGCCTTCCATACCGCTGATGCTGTTGTGAGCACAATCCCAGCGCTGGCCAAGGGTTAACGCCACTCGGTCTGTTGGTTCAGGGATTCACTTGGCAAGGACAGAGACGGGGTGGGGGTCGTGATGGGGGTGGTGGTGTTTAGTGGTTAGGGGGAGCGGTGGTGTAGCGGTTATTGCGCTGTCCCACGACCCTGGCGACCACGGTTCGATTTCCCGCTCACAGCCAACACTTGTAGTGATTATCCAAACCGGTCCTGGGCCTCCCCTAGGTTGACTCGGCCTCAAATGAGTACCTGATCTGATGTGTAAGCGTCGCTACATGGGAGACAAAGGCGGCCGGGCGTGGTGCTGGCCACCCACCCCCTCGTGTGCCGTACCGGTCTTGATTGGTGGCCGCTAACAGCACTTGCCCCAAGGCTATATGGGGGGGACCTTTGTCTTTCATGTTGATCGTGGTACTGTTGTTGTTGTTGACAGGACTTAACTTCTCACTGAATATGTTGCAGGTTCCTTGGGAGCCTGCTGTGTAAGCACTCGGCCATAGCGACAGGTCTACTGGATGCGTTGAAATATTTTCAGGGTTTCAGGCGCAGACAGGCCTGGCTCAGACCATGCCTGGCTCAGACTATTCCTGGCTCAGACCATGCCATCGGGGTGGAGTGGTGGCACTGTGGTTCACACGCCACGCCACAAACCCAGCGACCCGAAGTTCGGGCTCCTGACCACGACTGCTCATCAGTGGCGAGTGATATCGGTACCGGTTCAGTCAGTGTCTCGTCCTCATCATTATCATCATCAGCGCTCCATTCCTTCGCTACCATTTCTTGGCTGTTCTCGCCCACCGCCCCCGTCATCCTCCATAGTGGCGGCCTCCTCACCAAGCCCCCACTCGCATCCCCCAAACAGCGGGAAAGAAGCCCTTCACGTTGCTGCGTGCGTACTCCAAGCAGAGAGTTCCTCTATCGCCATTCCGCTTAATTTTTGTTAAAGCGCCCTCCGTCTATTCCACCACACGCGTTTGTTATGTTTTTGTTGTTGCTGCTGTTGTTCATATTTGGTGTGACGTTTTTTTATTGTGTGCCTTCCCTAGGTCGCCTCGACCTTACATAAATGAGGGCGGCTCGGGACACGATGCTGTGGCCGCACCTCCCGCCCCCTCCCCCCATTCCTGCCCTGTGGCCGGTCTTAAGTAGTCGCACGCGGACAGCACGCGGACAGCTCGCGGACAGCGCGTGTCCGTCTCGACAGCGGCCCGCTGGCTCGGGAGGTCGGAGCGCTGAGCCGGCGCTGTTGAGAATCCTGGGTTTACACCCAGGTGGCATCCACTTGCCCTAAAAGCGCATCGTTAAGTCACTCTGCGATAACAAAAAATCAAATAAATTTTAAAAAAACATCTCAAGGCATTGACTTCTGCGCTCAATCTGCACGGAACGTCGGTGACACCACACGTGAGTGACACCGCACGTGAGTGACACCGCACGTGAGTGATACTGCACGTGAGTGACGCCGCACTTGAGTGACGCCGCACGTGAGTGACACCGCACGTGAGTGACAACCGCACGTCGGTGACACCAGCACGTCGGTGACACCGCACGTGAGTGACACCGCACGTGAGTGACGCCGCACGTGAGTGACGCCGCACGTGAGTGACGCCGCACGTGAGTGACACCGCACGTGAGTGACACCGCACGTGAGTGACACCGCACGTCGGTGACACCGCACGTCGGTGACACCGCACGTGAGTGACATCGCACGTGAGTGACACCGCACGTGAGTGATACCGCACGTGAGTGACACCGCACGTGAGTGACACCACACGTGAGTGACACCGCACGTGAGTGACACCGCACGTGAGTGACACCGCACGTGAGTGACACCACACGTGAGTGACACCGCACGTGAGTGACACCGCACGTGAGTGATACTGCACGTGAGTGACACCGCACGTGAGTGACACCGCACGTCGGTGACACTGCACGTCGGTGACACCGCACGTGAGTGACACCGCACGTGAGTGACACCGCACGTGAGTGACACCGCACGTCGGTGACACCGCACGTGAGTGACACCGCACGTGAGTGACACCGCACGTCGGTGACACCGCACGTGAGTGACACCGCACGTGAGTGACACCGCACGTCGGGGACACCGCACGTGAGTGACACCATACGTGAGTGACACCGCACGTCAGTGACACCGCACGTCGGTGACACCGCACGTGAGTGACACCGCACGTGAGTGACACCGCACGTCGGGGACACCACACGTGAGTAACACCGTACGTTGGTGACACCGCACGTCGGGGACACCGCACGTGAGTGACACCGCACGTCGGGGACACCACACGTGAGTGACACCACATGTGAGTGACACCGCACGTGAGTGACACCGCACGTCGGGGACACCACACGTGAGTAACACCGTACGTTGGTGACACCGCACGTGAGTGACACCGCACGTGAGTGACACCGCACGTCGGGGACACCACACGTGAGTGACACCACATGTGAGTGACACCGCACGTCGGTGACACCGCACGTGAGTGACACCACACGTGAGTGACACCGCACGTCGGTGACACCGCACGTGAGTGACACCGCTTCACGCTAGTGACACTGGATGTGAGTGACACCACTGGACGTCGGTGGCACCGCACGTGAGTGACACCGCACGTCGGTGACACGGCCGGGCGCCGGTGACACGGCACGTGGGTGATACCGGACGAGAGTGCGAGAGCTCCGAATCGGTTGCCTATCATCACGTGACGCCGATGCCACGTTCGGGATGGAGCTGCACGCACCCCGCCTGCACGGGGGGGAAGGCGGCGTCTCCGAGTTTTTGGTGGCCGAGCCGAGTGCAGCATTCCGCTCCGTTTACCTCACCTGTGCGCAGGTGTGGCCTGGTGGGAGGGGGTGGAGGGGAGGGGTAAGATGGGTGGGAGGGAGGGGGTGAGGGAAGTGTAATGCTACGTGAGTTCACTGTGACACTTGCTAACACTCCGCGCCTCCGATACATACATACGAGTATGGGTCTGTGTCGGTTTCTGTGGGCCTCCGTGGGTCTCTATGGGTCCATATGAATATCTGGATCTCTGTGAGTCTATGGGTCTCTTCCGATATTAGGAAGTCACTGGGAGCTATGCACTTTTACATCTACATTGAAAAATCTTTCCTTCCCTCGCACCTCCGATGTCGCAGGCTGATCCTTCACGACACTACATTGCGAACCGCTGGTGCGTTCACAAAAAAAGCGATGAAAAACTCGTTGGGGGGGGGGGGGGGTGGTGGGGGCGTAGCAGGCGAGTGGTAAATGTCGAGTGTTGAGTTACCTCCGCGGTGACCATAGGATGGGCTACCCACGAGCTCCGAACGAAGCGCCAGAGACCGCTCGTGTCTCCCGAGGGTGGCGCCGGGTCTGGCAGCGCGTCGCGCAGCTCGGTAGCCCGGCGGGTCCTGTGACCCCGGAGCAGCTCGCCGTGCCCGGGGCCAGGCAGGACGCACGGGGAGTGTATGATGGACACGTGGTGTGTATGATGGACATGTGGTGTGTATGATGGACATGTGGTGTGTATGATGGACATGTGGTGTGTATGATGGACACGTGGTGTGTATGATGGACATGTGGTGTGTATGATGGACATGTGGTGTGTATGACGGACACGTGGTGTGTATGATGGACACGTGGTGTGTATGATGGACACGTGGTGTGTATGATGGACACGTGGTGTGTATGATGGACATGTGGTGTGTATGATGGACATGTGGTGTGTATGATGGACACGTGGTGTGTATGATGGAAATGTGGTGTGTATGATGGACATGTGGTGTGTATGATGGACATGTGGTGTATATGATGGACATGTTGTGTGTATGATGGACATGTGGTGTGCATGATGGACATGTGGTGTGTATGATGGACATGTGGTGTGTATGATGGACATGTGGTGTGTATGATGGACACGTGGTGTGTATGATGGACACGTGGTGTGTATAATGGACACGTGGTGTGTATGATGGACACGTGGTGTGTATGATGGACATGTGGTGTGTATGATGGACATGTGGTGTGTATGATGGACATGTGGTGTGTATGATGGACATGTGGTGTGTATGATGGACATGTGGTGTGTATGATGGACATGTGGTGTGTATGATGGACATGTGGTGTGTATGATGGACATGTGCTGTGTATGATGGACATGTGCTGTGTATGATGGACATGTGCTGTGTATGATGGACATGTGGTGTGTATGATGGACATGTGGTGTGTATGATGGACATGTGGTGTGTATGATGGACATGTGGTGTGTATGATGGACATGTGGTGTGTATGATGAACATGTGGTGTGTGTGTGTGTGTGCGCGCCAGTACACCCACTCACCCACGCACTCACCCACTCATCCACCCACGTGTGTGCCGATACACCCACTTTCTCACCCACTCACCCAGCCACTCACCCGTCCACCCAGGTGGTGTGTGGCGGTCCATTACATGGTGACGCCGATAGTTTCGCGCAATCAGCCGCCTCATACTCACCTCCCCTGCACTCACCTACTCACCCACCCCCCGCTCACCAACTCAGCGGTCGATCGGCCTGGAACTGACTGCTACTGCACGATGTTCGAGACCCTTCAAAGACGTTTAACCAGTTCAGTCGAAAATATGAGAGAGAACTGTTCAATAGAACTTACAAAGGATAATTATTGCGCACTCGTGATATCCTTGGTTATATACATTAATAAAGCTCGGCGCGTTTATAAATCTACTAACTCATGTACCGCGGGATCACGCCTCCTTGAAAGATCTGGACACATTCCCAACGGCGAGCTCCTCCGGCGGGGTCACGTAGCCCCCATGCCCAGCCATCGCGTGCCCAAGCAGATTTTGCTTGGCCGGATAGAGGGAGCCAAATGGGCACGTCATGGGCTGGACAAGAGATGGACTGACGCGGTACGGGAGAATGTAGAGCTGAGTGGACTTGCCAAAGACCGGTACAAGCGGTGTCAAGATCTACCTCTATGGAGGAGGCTCGTGAAGGGCGCTGCTACTGGGCAGTTGAAGGCAGTCGCCCTCCAACAACAGCGGAGGGGCAGAGGAGCGACGCTCACAACAAGCGGAGTGCCGGGGGGGATAAAATGCAGCAAGTTGGCACAGTATGGGGCACAGGTGGTGACGGGACAGACCCATGGCACCTGGGTCTGTCCCGTCACCACCTGTCGTCGAGTCTTCGACACTTCACGTGACCACGGAGTGCACCTAGCCTGGCATAAAGATGGGGGGGGGGGTGCTAATTTTCCGGAGCGTCTGAATGCGGAGAGGCCACACACGCACGCTCGTCGTGGCTGACATGGGACACGTGGTAGCTGTCTGGCTTGTTATTGCTGTCGAAGCGGATATTTTTGAATTCATTTTCACCTCAAGGCGATTCGAGGGTCTTGGGGGTGATTTGGGCAACTTTGCTGAGGAGCTTGCACAGTCTTTCAACTCTGGATGCGATTCCCGCAGAGGCCGATATGCCAACCCCCTTTCCCTGCGTAATCGCTCCTTCTGTCAGTTCCGATTGCAGGAGTGGAGCGACTCGGAGTGGGGCGACTGGGAGTGGGTGACTCGGAATGCGGGTGACTCGGAGTGGGGTGACTCGGAGTGTGGGTGACTCGGAGTGGGGTGACTTGGAGTGGGTGACTCGGAGTGCGGGTGACTCGGAGTGCGGGTGACTCGGAGTGGGGTGACTTGAATGGGGTGACTCGGAGTTGGGTGACTCGGAGTGGGGTGACTCGGAGTGGGGTGACTCTGAGTGGGGTGATTTGGAGTGGAGCGACTCGGAGTGGGGTGACTTGGAGTGGAGGTGACTCGGAGTGTGGGTGACTCGGAGTGGGGTGACTCGGAGTGGGGTGACTCGGAGTGGAGGTGACTCGGAGTGTGGGTGACTCGGAGTGGAGGTGACTCGGAGTGTGGGTGACTCGGAGTGGGGTGACTCGAAGTGGGGTGACTCGGAGTGGGGTGACTTGGAGTGGGGTGACTCGGAGTGGAGGTGACTTGGAGTGGGGTGACTCGGAGTGGGGTGACTTGGAGTGGGGTGACTCGGAGTGGGGTGACTCGAAGTGGGGTGACTCGGAGTGGGGTGACTCGGAGTGGGGTGACTCGGAGTGGGGTGACTTGGAGTGGAGGTGACTCGGAGTGGAGGTGACTCGGAGTGGGGTGACTCGGAGTGGGGTGACTCGAAGTGGGGTGACTCGGAGTTGGGTGACTCGGAGTGGGTGACTCGGAGTGGGGTGACTCGGAGTGTGGGTGACTTGGAGCGGGGTGACTCGGAGTGGGGTGACTTGGAGTGGGGTGACTTGGAGTGGGGGTGACTCGGAGTGGGGTGACTCGGAGTGGAGGTGACTCGGAGTGTGGGTGACTTGGAG